CGACAACGGCCAAGGTGTGAAGCGATTGTTGGGGACAGCGTCCTGGAAACGAGGCGGAGGGATGTGCGTGCGGGCTGGGAAATAAATAAGGGGCGGCGGCGGCCGCTGGGGTAAATATATTGGCAGAGGCATGGCAGCCCCGCGGGTTGTTGCAGAAAGGGGGGCTGGTGGACCGTGGCGTGAAAGAGCGAGGTGGAGAGTGGTAAGGGGGGACTACGGTCGTTAGAATAAACAGCTAAGTATTGTGAACGTTTTTCCCCCATTGTTTTTTTTTTACAAGTTGGCCCGCCACCACCAGCCCCTCAAGATGAGCCACCACTGTAAATAAGAGTAATACTCCAGGCAAAAGGTGTTTTTTTACAGCAATATGCCATAACATTGATTCTGTCACCGTGCCCCACGTAGTTTTATTGTTTATTGAGTTTTATAGAGCCAAGCTGGCCAGGCTTTGGAAAGGGCACAACCCACTTTTCACCCAGGCAACCAGAGAGCACAAACTATAGATATGTCTTGTCTGATTGCTATAACAACAAACAATTACAAATATTTAAGAACACACAATTAAAAAAGAATAACACATATTTTCTTAAGAAGCAGAATTTAAGTAACGTAATTTAACAATATTTAAATCCTATCAATGATTTTCAAACTGTCTGGGACACATAATGTGACAACACCATATTTCATTTATAATTGAACTCAGCCTTGTTTTAGAAATCCCACTCGCATGCCATGCAAGCCATAATGCGCGGACCAATTCTACAGATACGAGCTGGCATTTTTCTGTCTGTAAATCACCGTTAGTGTGCATTATTTTTTTACCATTACACTTAAAAACCATACAATTGCCTATTAACAAGCCCCTCGGCTAAAGTGTGCCAACTCGTTACATACAGATAGGGAGCGACAATTCCTTTCCCTGGCAATGCCAACTGTGGGTGCAGAGCCAAGGTGTGGTTGGATCAATATCATCGCAGAAATTGTTGCCCAATGTTTAAAATGTATTTCACACACTTTTTTTATGTCGTGGAAATATTATTCTCCGCCCCGTTGGCATTCAGAATATACTGCAGAAAAGAGCCGATTCTGATTAATCATTCTGTGTTATAAACAGTGGTCATAAAACCATCTCGCAGTCTCAGGATGCAAATTATGAACACTTGCTTGGAATTTTAAATAAAGGGCACGCAGTAAGATAAGGGTCCATAAAAAGTGTTGGTCATTTTACAGTATATGTCCAGACACTGTTTTGCTCCAACTGTGAAATGTATCAAGACTGGCATCATGCTCATAAATCATCCTAGTAAAGTCATTTCTGTCCTATCTACCTAAAATCGTGTTTCTTCAGTCTCCACACATGACAACAAATATATATACAAATACCAGCTTTTGACTGTTGACGACCTTTTAAAGCCGCATGCCATTGTACCGATCACAAGCAGGTGTGGTTATCACCGCACGATTTATAAATACCCCAATATATGCATCTGACGTGACCATTGTTTGATGCACACTCTCTTTCAAGCCATCATTCTTGTATTTGACTAGGTGTGTAATTCATTATACACATGTATACTGTACAAGTGATGAAATTGTAATGTTTTTATGTATGTCATGTGTTTTCAATGTACGGCAATGTGCTATGTATAGCAAACACATGATGTGGGGATCGGTGGTGCACCGTTTAGCGTGCTATACTACAAACCCGGGTACCTGAATTAAATTCCCAGCCAAGACCAGTGACCATGATCTTGCACCAGTCCTGGGCCTCCCCTAAATGGCCTCAAATGAGTACCTGGTACAATGTGTAAAAATTGCTACATGGGAGACAAAGGCAGCCAAGCGTGTTGTTGGCCACCCACCCCCTCGTGTGCCCGCTAAACAGGGCTTTCCCCAACAGTCTGTTAACCCTACGTGGGCGATCTCTGGCTCTGGCTACGTATATGGCAATTGACACCCTGGACGACCTTGCAAAAGTGATGTACCATCTCCAGAGATTTTCAAGGTGAAATATTGAATTAATTTATATTGTTTTTGGTTGCAACATCAGCAACAACAAAAAAAATAACTCCCTCTCGTTGTCGAGCGTACATCTCCCATGGACCTTTATCGCTGGACAGGCTACCCCAGTTCCAGAAAAGTCGCCCTCATCTTAGCTGCCCCTGTTCACTTTTACCCTAAAATAAATCTTCCGTCTCTTTATCGCCGCAGCATCATTCTACGAATTGCGGCTGAGACCCATGCTGGGCGACCCGGCGACGTTTGCCCTCCGCGCCCGAGTGGTGAAACCGCACGTGCTCCTCAATGGCTCCCTTGGATCGCCGGCGCCGGCAGGCAGCCGTGAAACCATCACACTGAACGCGACGGCTGCGTGGCCCTGGACACTGGTGCCGGTGCTCTACTTCGCCCTCTGGGCCAACAACTCCCACAACGTGAGGTCCGAGATGTCCAACGTGGCACTGGTGGCCCTGGTGACTCCCAGGATCGTGCAAGTGCAGCGGTCACCGTCCTTCTACAAGAACTCGGCCGCCCTCATCGGCTCGGTGGTTACGTCCCTCGCCCTCTTGCTCTTCACGGCAGGAATGCTCATCGAAGCCGTGTGCAGCGAAAAAAGACGGGACGACGAGGACCAGCAGCTCAAAGCTTAGGTGATGGTTTGAGGCCGGTGGTGGGCAACTTGCTGCACGCGGCCACGTGGAGCCCCACGTGGTGGCCTGTTTGAAGCGTGTCTATGGTGTTGCGTAGGGTTATGATGAGTGCACGAGCACGATTTCAAGATTGTGGCCCACTGCGGTGAAGGAGGGGTGCTCATGTGGCCCACCAACTCCTCTAAGTTGCCCATCACTGTTTTTAGGCCCTCTCCTTTTGGGCAACTTGGTTTCCATCGTTCCTTCCTTCGCTAAGTGTAGCACCTGGTAGCTCATTTGCTTTGGTGCCATTGACATTTAATCTACATGTAAAATTGAGTATATTTGTATGTGATTCCTACAGGCAAATTTATATGTTATATTAAACACAGTATGGCCTGCTGTTGTTGAGTAGTATCTATATAAATACAATAACAAGCAACAGATAAGTATTTTTTGTCTGTAGAGTAACATGGTATGATTGCTGTATAAGGCATGTTATGAATTGGATTTAATCCCATTGGAATGCTAATACGTGCACTGCACTTGAAATGAAAACAAATCTATGGAAAATAGGAGGGAGGTATAAATGTGCACCGCAGATAAACGGAATTGTCATTGTTTTTCTTAATGTCTGCACAATAATTTCCCCACACGTGATGACTGTTGTGGTCTGTTCTTGATTTGTGTTGTGTGTGTGTGGCCTGCATGGCAAATCGTTTATTATCAAAGCCATCTCCTTGCTATCAGGAAATATTGCATCTTAGCACCATAAGTGTGTTACTTACAATTGCTTAAATGTCAAATATGTTCACTCAACATTGTGCATTAGGAGACACCAGAAATGTGATAGTAAGAGAAACCTAACCATTGATTTGTGTGTATATTGGAAATGTAATGACTGAAATAAAATGTCATACAATTGCCATAACATTTAGATTTTTATTCCAGCTGATAAGGACTATGTAGAAAAAGCATTTAACCTTTTCCCAAACCCCGAATAGCAAATGTTTCAGGGTGTATAGATGCCCGTGAATAGGGTAAGATTGAGAGCAAAAGTGGTGTCACCCTCAGAATGCCTCACTCAGTAGTCTACTACCTGGTATTACACTGCACAAAATAATCACAAAACAACGACATAGTTTCGTGTCAAACAAGGACCCATTTCTAACATAAAGGGAGCTTGCCTATAAACATTGAGCAGTCCTCCAGCATTGGTTCAAACTAACCGGAAGAAATTTTGTTTGCATTGGACCAATGCTGCTAATAATTTGTTCTACGAGAACGTCGTGCAGCCAAATGGGTTGTTTAAAACCCACTATTATTTTCTGGAGAAAGAAATATGGGAAGGAAGCAAAATTTATCTTGGCATCATGCCACAGATCGCATTTATTCACGCAGAAAAAGCACATGACTGCACAATCTGCAGGTTCCCTGGTGATAAAAAAATATTCTAATATACATTCCTTTGTTAGTCCACGGCTGAATGAAATCCTTCCCATGCCATGTCGGTCATATGGGTTGATTGACCATTTCTCATCAAGGTGGTCAATGTGGTTTGGTGAAAGCGTGGGGGCCCAGGACCATTTCAGATATCACTCATCAATGATGTTAACCGTGGCAGGGATCGAACGTGGGTTTCTGGGTTCATAGCAAAGTGCACCGGTTATAGGAGACTATAAAAAAACAAGTTGATGTCACTAAATTAGGAGCTCAAAAAATGTAGGATAGTCAATTGCCCGCTCAAGTTCATATATATGTACACTGCCACTTCCACTTGTATGCAAATATCACTCTCGCTTTGAAGTCCCAAGCTAATCTGACACTTTGGTTCACTCCGCCACCTCTTGTACATTGTACAATGTCACACAAAACGTATTATAAAATGTTTCACTGGAAATAAATAAAAAAACGTTTTGATAGTGTGTCCATTAATTCAATAAAAACCATTTATGGTATAGAGATCATACGCTGTATTTATAAAAAAAAACATTGTTTTGTTCTTCACAAGCATTCAGTGGCATGCAATTTCTCCGGGCACTCCAATACGCGTGGGGGCATGTGTGTAGTGTGGATAGAGTAACACGCCAAATAGTGGAAGCACACGTTGGGGAAAAAAAAGCAACGTCTCCAATGGTACCAACTTCTCTCTTCTTAATCCTTCCCAACCTTTCTGATGAAATGCGCCTCGCACTGTATGAAGCAAGCTCTAGGCCAGTTGTGTCCTGTCGGGCATCTGGTTAAACATTGTCACCAGAGAAATAAAAACGTCGGTCCGTTCAACGTTGATCCTGCTCAACCAGTCATGCAGCCTTCTTTTGTCGGCAAGTGTAATTGCCAAGGCAGATTCCAGTAAGAGGCAGAAAAAGCTAAACATAGGCGGGGCCACACCTACAGACGAGGCGGCACCTGCAGCCAAAGGACCACAACACAAAAGTCCTCGCCAGAGACTCTCCTGCAGACGACATGGAGCAAGCGCAGCAAGGTGTCAAGTCGATGGCCAACGACGCCATGAACTTCTTCAACCGTGTCATTCAGGTGAGCCGAATAAGTATTTTTTTACCTTTCGCCAATATTTTAGTTTTCACTTTACGCTGCCCGTTCCCATCATCCAGCGCCCACCACGTCGCACGTCACAACTCCCTGCGTGCGCTAAAAGCCGTGCGAGCCAACGCCCGGGACTGGCCAGAAGTTGATGGTCATTTCGGACCGATTGGTAAAAAAAAACAAAATTAGTCGTAACTTTTTTGACTGGCTTGGTTGGGAAGTTGGGATTTCGTGGTCTGGGATGTGTAGATCTAATGGACGCATTTTTTTTTGTTGTGATAACGTTTCGTTGATGTTTGTGCTTTCGTTTTGGTGCCATTTCTTAAATGTATTGATGTTGCTTGGTAGTAGGGTTTTCATTTGCTTGGTAGTGGCTGTATATGGGATTTGGACCTTAAATATAATTAATCTACAGCATTATGAGACGATATTAGCATGAATGACGCTATATAAAATGCAAATATTATTATTCCTCTCTCACTCGCAATTCAAGCGTTTTTTTATAAGGTCTGTAGATTGCATAATTGGGTCTGATACTGGATACAAAATATTTACACTTGGCAACTCGATGATGTCCCTTTGATAATACCATACGGTACTGAGTATTTGGCAAATACTATCGTACAGTTAAGTGAAAGTATATCCCCATTTTCTGAGATGTTCAATGTGCAATTAAAGCCGAGTTATTTTTGTATTTTCTTTAACAATAAAAGCATGACGTAGACACAATTGAAGTGCTGAAATGTTACATTTACAAATATTGGGCTGTGTGCTACATGCAGCTAAAGTTCACGAGACAATTAAATAAATAAACCTCGCATTATTTGGAAATGCAGTTGTCACCTTTGAAGTTAACTAAGCGTGAGAGTGCTGCACGTCAGTGTCATATATCCTGGCCGGAGGAGTCACATCACATCGCACAAGCTATTTAAAGAGTCATATTAGTAATGCTGAGGAAAACCATATGAATGATATGTATGTACTATCAATACTAATTAATGGAAAATGTTAATTGCCATTTCGATATACATTTTATGCAAAGGAAAAATGCGTTCCTTCTACTTCATTGAGATGCGTGCTAAAATGTCACCAATGAGGGCTATGGTATTTCTTTATTTGATGAATATTGAGCCATAGATAATACGGACATTGTCTTTGTACTGTTCACTGGTGCAGACCAATCAGTTTCAAAGACAATGAATCAGGGTGTGTTCATTTGCATGTCGACCACAAGTACTGTGTGTGGTTAATGCGAACTTTATTCCTTGGAAAAGGTTTCTGTTTGGTGTTTGAACATCTTAACACCTCCTATTTGATTGCCAAAAAAAAGTAAAAACCTACTCTTATTTTTCAAAGCTCAAGATAAATTAGCATTTTGATTTAACCCACAACATCGCAACACTCACGGGTAGAACATGTTTATTGGTTCTTTCATCGACAAAAAAATGACAATATCGAGCCGAAAAATCGGAACAGAAGTCAGCACGTTTAAAAATAAGAACAAAATGAAAGACCCTTGAACAAAAGTTGCCTCGCTGCGTATTAATACCACACCCAGGAATGCTACACTGCAGCGTATGGCACTGTACAGTCTCAGGTGAAAATACAATGAACCCGCAGCAGCGTCGAAACTTCCTCAAGCAGTGCAGAGTTGACGTTCACAGGCAAATGGAACATTCCCTTCTCAGTGCATTGGACCATGATCTAGGCACGCAATTTATTTATTTATTTACACTGCCACACGTCTCTGACATTTTGCACGCTGTCAAAAAAATAAAAAGGATGGCGTTTTCTTAAACGAATATGGTGTACAGCGCTTTCTTGCGGATATCTAACAGTGTTATGACCGACCCATAAATGGGCTTCAGGTCCGAGCAGGGAAATTTATTTGATTTATGTCTCCTGCGGGGCAATTGAACTTTATTGCACAATTCCCAGGTGACGTTGGCTTAAAACCCATGCACCATCAAAAACATTTTTTTTATATATATACGAGCAATCACACTAAAACCCATTAAAAAAAGCATTTAAGTAGGGTTCTGTTATTTAGCACAATGTTAAAATATTTCTGTTCCTTTACGTGTGGCGGACCTAGAAAAGCATACTGCTTATGCATTGTCACGTTTAACTTGTACCGGTGAGCGCAGGCGGGAATTTAATTGAGAATGGTGCCTTACATAATAAATTAATCATAATTGGTATCAGTATTTTGTATGAAATGAATGAAACATATTACCCACAACTATCCTCGTTTATAAAAATCGGTGGGTCTCTTCCAAAGAACTGCACTGCAGTACTATACATTATATTGAGGGTCTTAATAGATGGTAAAGTGAGGACACAAGGGAGAGATGTGTACCAATTTCACCAGAAAAGAGTGATTCGACGAGATTATTTAAATAAACAGCAATGACAAAACATGAGATTTGTGGTCTCCTGTCATCCAGTTCAAGCAGCAGTGTGAATTTTCCCTCAAGGTTCCCATTTCCCACAATAAAAATAGTGACCATAATCATGACCATTTAACTATTGCACGCTGGGTTTTTTTCCACTTTAACATAAAACAAATGTATGAATGTCATGTGCAAATGATGTGGCTTTGCGGTAGCATGTTTGCCACTTGGTGCAGAGGTTTGTGGTTCAAGCCCCACGGCTGTCCTTGTTAATACTGCGTGTATATTAACCTAAAAGCACTATGCGCCGCCTGCGTTACAGGGAACATGAATATCCCCTGACAGTTCTGTGGGACAGAGTAGGTCACGTGTGCCGGCGTCATGGTCCAAATAAATAAAAACTATCATTAAATTACTCGATTAGCAAAATTACGAAACTGCTGCAGACTATAATCGTCTGTGCAACATCGCGCTTGTTACAGCTTTGCACGATAAGAATATCAAATGTGCTAATTTGAATTCACGATACCGAAACATATGTATTCTCGCTTTTGTGAGGAAGACTTAAATATAAGACGGCACCAAGTTTTATTTTTACAATGTGAGTAGCTAAAAAAATCCCAATTTTTTTTTTACACCAGCATGCAATGGAACTTTACAAAAACATATCATTGTAGAAGGCCCTCAAGCTAATAATACATCAATGAATCTTTTACACTGAAATATGCCAATTTTGTACAAGCAGTAGTTATAGGCATTACAGTAGTATAGCGCTACAACCTATGGTTTTGTACACCTACTTAAATTTGATCAGTTACTCCGTTCACTTTAAAGGCACACACAAGTTGAATGCTTCCCTGCAGCCTGCTGTCCCTTCCTCCGAAGAGAGCTTCACGTGAGTACCGGCTGTACATGCCTCCTAAGAGACATTCGCGTGCGTGCCCTCGGCAGATGGCGGGAGAGACTGTGGGCCAAGCCGAGAAGACGGAACTGGACGCCAGCTTCCTCAAGCTCTTTGGCGATGTGGACATCACCAGGAACTGGACAGACAAGCTCATCAAGCAAGTTGAAGTGGTCATACAGCCCAATCCCAGTAAGTCCCATTTCTCTGGTGTGAGGCAAAGGGTTTAAGGTGCAGCCCTGCAATTGCTTGCTCATTTTCATTGATGGCGTAAGGGCCTCCAACTAGAAGAGAGCTCTAGAGGGGTTTTTTTGGTCTACTCTTCCATGCTGGCCTGATGTCTTGAAAGAGGTAGGTATTACCCACACTTCACCCTACCACATGCGACCTTCCAATAGACTGCAGTGTACCTAGTCACACAGCTGGGTGGACACAGGTGGGCAGATTGAAGAAACCTGCGCATTGCTTCAACTGCTGTGCCGCAGAGTTCAAACTGGAGACTTCTGAATTTATATGATTAGCAAGGTGTGTTGGAGAGCCAAGCCACAACATTTACAATCCGAGTACTGTGGCTTGGCTCTCCAACACACCGGTGTATTGTACTAGTGACGAATTGGCACGTTCTGTTTACGTAACAACCCTTACTAGTTGGCTGTGTCGGGTGGTGGTGGGTTTTAACGACACATTTATATATTTACGCGATCTAACCCAAAAACTTCTATTATGGATTATATTGATCGCGTAAGCCTACGTGTTAAACTGAGCGGTAACTCAGTTTGGCAAAATAAAGAGACATTTTTCTCACACTATGTACAATTTATTATAAAGTCTTTGTCATGTTCTACAAACGTTTTCAAGGGCTGAAAAAAGGTACGTGTCAGATTGCATATGTGCATCCGTGCATCACATTATTTATCTTGCCACTATAACATCTGCGACATCACAAATCAGTATGGGGTTGCCATCTGTTGTGCATTTCGTGTGACTTTGCTTTATTTTTCTTGTCAATTTAATTGATTTGCTGACTACATACAAGAGCAGGATGTCCTAAACCATCGCAAACAACAACAAAAAAACCCAATAAGTAAGATGTCTTCTTTGGTTCTTTCGGTAAAGTCACGTAGAATGAGAATAAAATAATAAAATAACACAATAAAATTCTCACGACGTTTCGGCCACAACACAAGCGGCCGTCTTCACCTTCACCTGAAGACGGCCACTTGCGTTGTGGCCGAAACGTCGTGAGAATTTTATTGTGTTATTTTATTATTTTATTCTCATTCTACGTGACTTTACTGAAATAACCAAAGAAGATTAATCCTTGCAGTCACGAAAGCTTTAAATCGAAAAGTAAGATTTGAATTGCTTAAATGCTGTACTCGTAATTCATAACATATTTTACCCCATTGCATCTTCTGGCGTCGTTCTCCAGGTGCCCGGGTGCAGGAGTTTTTCACCGGTTTTCTGGACATGCCACCAAACCCACGGCAGACAGACACCGAGATCCTGGGTCAGAGCTTCGTGGATGCCGGCCAAGAGCTGGGACCCGGCACTAACTATGGTGAGCAGATTGAGTGCGTTTCTCAACGCGGAACATGGGCAGCCCATTACCGCCCCATTAATGTGATCAATCCATTTATACGCTGCATTCAATGGCCAATTTTACTATTGATTTGTAGGCTCCATAGGCAGTCTTAAGTCATTTTCATAGTACATTGCACTTACTCGAAAGCTTCAAATCTACATTGCACTTGTCTAAATCAGCTTTTTGTATTACATACAAGTCTTTACCTTGGTCAGCCTTTGGACAAATCACCCGGAACGTGCCCAAACATTAGGGTCGAACCTGAATAATGCTTATATTGACGTCCATCATGCACAACAGATATTGCAGAATGCATGGCTAAGTGACAGGCAGCAGTCGGCATTGCAGCAAAATCCATCGTTGGACTGTACTTCTACGTTCCCATGTCCATATGCCTTCACCGACCCACACATGACAAACATGGTGAAGGATGGTCAAATAACCCCCATGACCCACACAGAATGAGGAGGTCCTCATCCAGCAGTGGATTGAAAAAAGGGCTGCACATAAACGTGCACCACTTGGTCAAGATAGTTACCTGGAGAAACTACAATTACCTCCAGTCAGCTTTTGGAGATTGCACTAAAGTAGTCACTTCAAAAGTCCCGATATATTAAAGAACTGTCCTGGAATTCCCTACTGACGTCAGGACGACGCATCTTGGCAGGCAACAACAAAAGAACTCGTCATTAATTCATAGTCATATCTCCCAGGCATTTCACGCTTGAATGGAAAACAAAAAAGTTCTCCTTAACTTTGTAGATGTGCTTAAACCCTATCCGATGCCATTTTGTACCCTCGGAGCTCGGGCGTTGCTATTCCAGAGTGCAAATACAGTACCGATTTAAAATTGAGTTGTTAGTTTAACATGTAGGCTTTCGCAACCAATATTTATCCGTAATAATATTTTTTTTGGGTTCGATCGCGTAAATATAAATGTGTCAGTTTAACACGTAGGCTTTCGCGACCAATATTATTCATAATAAAGGTTTTTGGGTTAGATCGCGTTTATTTATAAATGTGTCGTAACCCTCCACCACCCGACACGGCCAATCAGCAAAGAAAATTCTGGCGAATTGCCCGATGATGCTGGAAGTATTTACCAGCGAAACGTCGTACTCAAACTGTAAATGTGGATTAACTCTTCAACACACCGGTGGGCTGAAGTAGTGAATTATTTGTCTTTTGTCAACGTGACACTTTTCTTTGCTGATTGGCCGTGTCGGGTGGTGGAGGGTTACGACACATTTATAAATAAACGCGATCTAACCCAAAAACCTTTATTATGTATAAATGTGTCGTTAAACCTGTCACCACCCGACAGTCAATCAGCAAGGTTTGTCACGTAAAGAAAACATGCCAACGCGTTACTAGTTGTGTGGTACTCGATTTGTGGTTTTACTATCCAACACACCGGTGTGCTGAACTAGTAACGAATTGGCATGTTTTAGTTACGTGACAAGCCTTACTAATTGGCTGTCGGGTGGTGGCGGATTTAACGACGCATTTATATTTACGCTATCTAACCCAAAGAAACCTCGTGAACAATGGGGATGTTATACATTCATCAGTGAATGAAATTAAACCATCAATGTACTGTGCACATGAGCACAATTATCACACCAGGATTCCCTCCACTACTTTTGTATGAAAAATCATCGATATCCCAATGTAGGTCCACAGAGCTTGGGCAATTGTTGGTGTTGTATACTGGCTGCCGTCCCCACCCGCCTGTGATTTCCTGCACCTCTCGCGTCATTCTTTTCTCTCTGAGAGTGAATGAAGACCGCGCCTAATATTTTTTTGCAATATTTATCTTCATGCAAGATTACATCTCGAGTGTTCCATTGTGGATTCAGGTGCTGCACTGACAAAGGCAGGCGAAACGCACAAGCAGCTTGGGACCAGCGAGAAGGAATACATCCATGTCGTCTCCAAGGATTTCCTGGGCCCTCTGCACAAGTTCCTTGACAATGATGTTGCCATAATAGCTGTGAGTTTCAGTTTGGCACTCAGTGCTTTCATCTTCTGAGTTATACCGGTGTCTAAAAATTACAACCAAAAATTCACTACGGTACAGTGATATTTCCTAGTTGATTAATCGATAAACACAGTGTGATCCTAACTATTACTACGTAAGTGTAGCGTTGCATTACCCTGCTAAGAATTACACAAAGGACTGAGTATAATCTTTAGGTGTTTGAAATGCCATAACTTAAATAAATCAGTTGATGATCTTTGACCTTGGTTGTATTCATGAAGTCCATCCACAGTTTAAACAGGCTAGCGTGATACGCTTTACAAATTTTTAATGTATATATAGGCCACGGCAGGTTCAATAAAAGAAAGCACCAGATAGAAAAGTGCTTCCTTTTATAGTGGACAATACAGCACAGGATATTGAACATCTTCAAAAAAACATGGTTGATTGGGTGCCTGTGTTAATGTAGTTTCTGTTCCTCCTCTAACCTCAATGCTTTGTATGCCGTAATGTGTTTTCAGAGAGAGCGGAAGGCTTTGGAAGCCAAACGCTTGGACTTGGACACACTCAGGTCCAAGCTGAAAAGGTGCACTGATGAGGAAGAAAAACAAAAGGTACTGTATGGCTAGGCCGACTCTGAACACCACCAGCTGCAAGACCAAAATACATGAACACTGGAAATATCACATTATAAAAAGTAACAAAAAACCGGAAAGATATGAGTGATCCAATTACGTAACTTTAATGAACATGTAATAAGAAGTGGCCTAAGAAGGTCATAATTTAGTTATTATTTCGTCAGTTACACAGTCGGCTTTCAAACACGAGGTACGCTGACATGTCACAAAGCAACAAACCTTAATTTGGTTGCTGCCCTGCCTGACATCTTTTGTGCTGCATTCACAGCTGGAGGCTGAAACCCGCCAGGCCCAGGCCCAGTTTGATCACCAGGCCGAGACCACCAAGATCCTCCTAGAAGGTCTCAAGTCCACTCACGTGAGCAGCACAACAGCAGACACTTTGACATCTCAACTCATCGCACTCGGCCACAACGCCTATATCTATACTCTATAGATATCTATATTTAAATCAGCTCATGCTTCCTGTAAATCACATAACTTCTGTGTGGCCACCTCTCTCTGCCCTCTGTGAAGGCAGAAGCTGCTCCACGCAGCTTGAGGCCTTTATGTAGTCCTCCCTATACTCCTCTCTCTCCTGACCCTCTTCCTCCCCATCCTTATTCATTGCTTTTCCATAAATTTCCTCTTATTTCCCATTTCTTCCTCTTCTCTCTTTCCCATTCCTTTTTCCAAACAATATATTATCTTATATTTATAGAGCACCTTCACTCAATACTCTCCTCCCCGTGGTGTGCTACGATTATGCTGAAGATGGGCTTTCATACTCCAATTCTCGCCTGGGACAATCGAGTTCATTTTAAAAACGATGCTTTCCATTGGAGCGAAGTGGGTTATAACTCACTTAATTTACATTATCAATGAATATATGACGTTATTTTCTTTCATTTCAAATTGAGAATATTGATAAACCTGAATAGATGCACTTTGGAAAGGCAAGAGCATTCGAGTTTTGTAAACCCTGAATGTGCACATGCTTTTTTATTGACTTAAATGTACTTAATGCATACAATTTTTACTGTAAAATATCCTATTTAGCAGTAGGCTCATCGTGTTGGGTGGTGAAAAAAAGCATGTGTGGTGGGACACTACAAAGTGGGTTCTCGGATATGTTCGGGTGCACATCAAGATCCCACCCCCCCCCCCCCCTTCAAACTCTGAAATCTTGAAGTGTTTTGGACAATTGCTTGGCAACATGCGTGACAGTGCCATCTGCCACCTGACACCAGCGTGAAAAATATGGCCTCCAGTGGGTTTGTGTGTTTTTTTTTGGTTGGGATCCACACATATACACTGCCCGATTTTGTTTGACACGGTACTGCCATTTCCCACACCCAGGTGAGTCACCTGGCATGCTTGCATCACTACGTTGATGCTAAAGCCAAATACCACGAAGACTGTCTGCAGAAGCTGAAAACCCTGCAGCAAGACTTGGGAAAGTAAGACACTTGATACAATTTAGTTTTTTGCAAAGAAACAGCTGATTTGCGACGTAACATTGTGATGCATACACCATATATGTACTTTTTCTGTACTAGATTTATCAAGGTTGAGTGGTGGTGCACGGTAAGTTTCTTAAATCCCTCCATCCTGCAGTATAAATAGATACACATTTTAGTCGATCAGCAGGTTGCGTGCGATGGGATAAAATGTGGGTACTCCCACCTCTTCCAAGACCTCTGGCCAGCATGGAAGAGTAGGCCGAATATACACTTTAGAGAGGCTCTGTAGAGCTCCATCTAGTGGAGGCTCTTTCATCAGCGGTCGCGCAAGTTATAACTTGCAGACCTGCACCTTTGCCTTGTTACACATGCACAAACTCTATGAGATGCGTGGGAAAGGGCTGCTGAAGTTTGCTTTGGTCCCACCCCACTGCACGTCTCTACTAAGCGGTCATTATGCTATCTTGACGTGCATTGGTTAAAGTTTGGTGTGCATGTGGGCTTCAACAGCTGCTTACATAAATTTCATGTTTAAAAAAAACTTGTTTGAGCTTTTCATCGTAGAGATGTTGCAAGTAAAAAAAGATGTCGTTTTACAGTGATGCTATTCGTGCTATTTTTATACTGCTCAGGACAGCTATTTGGGATATTTTAAGCGTGACTTGTATTAGGATTGCAAATTAAACAAGCAGGAACGTCTGACAAAAAAGTAGAACTAAGTATATAACAAAATTTAAATTGTCTGCATGAACTTAACATTAGGCTTATTTTTAGCCCCATATTCATATATGTACCAATGACATTGCAAAGCGTTCATAGTGTTAACTATACTAAAACATACTGCTAAAGTATGATCTTGATTTGAAACTTTTGTGACTGCAGGAATCCATACTCTTTGGTTCTTTCGGTAAAGTCACGTAGGTATAAAATGAAATAAATCACAACGTTTCGGGCGCAACGCAAGCGTCCGTCATCATGTGTTAAAACGTGCTCTCTCTTATACATTGTTTGAGCTTTAACAAAAATAACATATGTGACATTATCTCAAAATTTGGACCCTTGCCAAGTAAGAGTGATATTTTATAAGGCTCACTTCTTCAAACTTAACTTCTCTAAAGATGAACGCAGTATTCCCTCGCATCAACTACCGACGCAGAAGTTATAATCTATAAATTCCAGAAGCTAATCTATAAATTGCAGCGTCCCTGCATAGTTTAGCAGTGCAGGAGTCACGTACAGTACTGCAATAACCATAATTTACATTTGTGATTAGGAAACCTGATCCTCCAAAAGTGGGCGATCCTCCAAAGAATACATATGCCCCAAAGAACGTGGACCCTCCGAAGAGCACAGCATCCCCAAAGGTCGTGGTTCCTCCGAAGGCTGAAGACGATGCTGAACTCTCCCTGATTGATGGCCTGTAAAGCCTGGTGGTGAGATGAACATTCACGGCTTTAAGATATGCGAAATGTAATTCCACGGTAGAAATTATTTGATGCACTGTATATATTTTTCATGTCAGAATAAACATTAAAACGTGAACGACAGCAATAAGCAGGAAAGAGCTGTGATCCAGCTGTTTACTGGACATGTGTAAAAATGAGCTTTATAGCTCACCGGATTCCTTCAGCATAAATAAAGGTTTCGGTTCTGATTCACTCACTGTGTTATGAACCTGGATACCAGAGATTGATTCCCGGTCAAGGCTAACAGTCGAGCGTGATATCTGAATCAGTCTATACTCTCCCCTCCTTCACCAACCTGCACTGACCAATATCGTCAAACAATCCCTATGATGACACAGTGCAGGGAGGCCTTCATCCAGCAGTGGAATTACAGATATGTAAATTATTATAATTGTATAAATAAACTTACATCAGATGGCACGTTCGTAACATTACTGTAGTTTTCCTAATTCATTGCAACATATGCTGCTGGATTTTTTCTACCCCCCCCATCCCCCCCCCCCCCCCAGTGTTTCAAATCCAGAGGACGCAGACGGGGAGGGAACCTGACGTGCCTGAGCAGCATAACGTCATCGCAATAAACGGTCCCAGCGAAACTCGCTAAAAGTCCCACCACGTAAGCCAAGTGCACGAGGTTGGGTTCGATGTTTAAGCATGGTCAAGAGAGTAAATTAGACTGCAGTACTGCAAAGAAGTAGGCAATTGCCACTGTACTGTGTACTTTAATTCAAAGAGGCCACAATTCGCACGTAGTCTCTGAAAATTATGGCTGGCGTGATGGGCTTTGTGGAAACGGTGATTTGTTTTAAACTGCTTGGTTTGAGGTGACGGCGGTTCACTTATAGGTTAGCACTGACAACCACGCAGAACTATGTAGTACATATCACTTGTTTTACATTATTTCAATACGCATTTATATAACGTATGTATGCAGAGAATTCAACGGTGCCTACGTTTTCCTATCTCGGTGTCAATTGTGCATTTTAATAACAATGTTAAAGGGCTTCGGTCTGGGTATGCAAATCTGATAAATAGTGTTTTTTTAACTGGAAATTGGAGCTAATACAACATTAAATAAAAGGATTTTTTCTTGAAAATAAGTTTGTTACGGTGCTGAAATTTTTTAATGAGAGTAGTGTATATTTATGCAAAAGGGTTCATTTAAAAAAAACCTATGTTAACACCACAGCAGCTGCAGATGTTTTAATGACTATAATCCCAAAAACTTGGGAAGTAAATTAAATTGGCTTCGAGTCAATCGCACAAGACGCATACAAAGAAAAGTTATGGCAGTCTATAATGTTGCAATGCATGACTAATTACAATTTTATTTTATAATCAATACTGCATACAGTGACTTAAATCTGGCCACATTTAAGCCGGGACAAGAGATAAAATATATATAAAGTATAATACAGGACTGCATTATTTGAAGAGCCGTATATAAAACAGTGTCCCTTGTTCAATACAATGCTGCCTTTGAAAGCCATTATGCCATTCATTGCTGCAGCTCAATACTTGGCTTGCTCCTTTATGAGTTATTCAGCCCATAATGCCTTGCATTTTGTACGGTTGTTTGCATTCAAGCCACGTGCCTGGAATCACTCACAGGCAGATGCGTATCTCTGTATATGCAGCTAGTGGAAGTGCCTATTGCATGCAGATTACTGGTGATAACATCACAACACACCGTTGAGTGCTTTGGGACCATTAGAAAACAAATAAGCGAGTAAAGCTGACAGCATTTGAGGACACATCTTTTATGTAAAATAACATATTTGTATTTGTAAGAGATGATACCGTATTTATGATAGTGAAAAGTGTCCTTATTCAATTCACAAGTGTGTCCGTGGAAGGAAATGGGAATTTGCATCACATGATCACGCACCAATATGTTTCTGGGAGGACAGATTACCAAATAATTTGAATCCCATCTTGGCAAATGGGATTTTTTTCCCTGTATTTTAAGTGAAAATCTCAATGTATTTTTTTATGGAAAAATAGTGAAATGGTATATTTTTTTCGCACGAGGGAAATCATGCCCACTGTGTCTCTGAATATACCCCACTGAGCCCCAGCAATCACCCTTTCTCATCACAAATCTCAGGAATCCCCACCATTAGCGCAGTAAGCCTGCACGTGTAGCTTCATAATTTCTTAATTTCCCCAAGTGCTGGCAACAATAACATCATTTCCATTCAACAACAGACACAGTAACATATTCTGCGCCAGCTTCGCATTCTCCCTAAACAACAGTAACGCATCGCCTAGGTGATTTCCTGCGTTGCCGGTAGAGACGGTCACATTTTTGTAAAATGTGAAAAGACATTTTTGCCAAATATCATCAAAAAGGAACTCGTGTTAACACGTGATTTGGGTAAAACATGTTAAAGATAGCATTTTTCATAGTAAAGGTTTTTGGGTTAGATCGCGTTATTTATAAATGTGTCGTAACCCTCCACCACCCGACACGGCCAATCAGCAAAAAAATGTCACGTTGACAAAAGATAAATAGTTCACTACTTTAGCCCACCGATGTGTTGAAGAGTGAATCCACAACATTTACAGTTTGAGTACTGTGACGTTTTTATTACACGGCACAATACTTTGAAGCCAATAGGCAATGGAAGCATCTTAATTCTATATGGCATGCTCTAAACAGCATTGGGGTGGTGCTCGTCCCTGTTGTAGATCCTGAACCAATGGTGAAAAAGCCACATTTGTATGGTTTGGACCAGTCTCCCCATAGGACAATCATTAACTGGGTTACCATTAACAAGCAAAATAACTTCCCATTATCCAAAACGGAATTCTTTCTCCTTAACAACCCACTGGAGTCAGTGTACTGTGATGTATGCATTGTTTTCACATTATGGTTCCTTGTTAGTGGTGTAATTTAGATGGAATTTGTCACCCAAAGCTTATTTTGCCTTCTATCTCAATCACGATATCCTGAAGGCAACTGCAGACAAAAACATATACATTTTTTATCAAGGTCATTAGGATCAGGTTTTTTTTGCAAGGATGTGTATATTTTATAACCATCCAATTGATGTTTTCAATGTGTTATTGAATAAAAGACGCTCTAAATCCGGCTATAACTGTTGACCATTACATATAGGCCCTGACCAATTAACTGTCCACACCCAGCGAAGTATCTGTGCGTGGTTAAACTATTTTCTATTGATATTTACATATCTGACCTGTTCACATATCCATCTCTATAACTCAGTCCCCAGCAAGTCACGCATGCGATCTTGTAACCTGCTCAACTTTGTAAATCCACAGTTTATGGCTGATTGACCTCCGTGGCCAGAAGTTCAACCTCGCCATCCTACAAGCGGGAGACTTTTGCAGTGTTAGGGGCTTTGTTGCCCCTATGATTCGATGTAATTGCCTTATAGCGTCGTCTGTGTTTTCTGTACAGTCTCATCTACTCTATCATGTAAGATCTCGTCCGTTTATCGTAAGTCACGTCTCGTATGCAATGTGTTACAGTCATATCTGTTCCGTAGAAGTCTGCCTTATTTGAGCTGTCAGCACTGCCGTGCCCTCAACGTCCAAATCGCCTCCCGTCTGGTGTCTAGCCTGCATTGTGTGGCCCCTATCTTGCGTTTCAACTTATTACGTTCAAAGAAGGTGAGAACACAAGTGACCAGGATAGCCACACGTGCAAGGAGTGAGTGACCACCTAGGTCAGCAAAAACGGCAAGTCAATTACACGACACAGCTCACCGGATTCCCCCACTCTAATGTGGATAAATATTCGGGGGTTTTGAAAATAACATGCCACCCCCCTCCCCCCCAGCAAGGCCACAGGACACAAAACGCATTGTTTGAAAACAGATGCTGTTGGCGGCACAGCAGCTGGTGGGGGGGAGGGGGGGAGAGGCTTCTGTCTGCCCACCCCGGATTTCCTGTGCGTGTTTAGGGGAGGGGGAAGGCCTCGCGCCCATTGGACTCGGAAATACTTCAAGGCGGTTAAAAAAAAGACATCACACATAACACCGGCACCGCGTTTACATATTGAACTGCTATCGCCTGCGTCGGTGGGATTTTACATGCACGTCTGCGGCGCTTAACCCGTGAGCCACCTCGCCATGGACTTCAACATGAAGAAGTTAGCGTCTGACGCTGGCACGTTCTTCACCCGCGCCGTTCAGGTGATGACCGCCGCGCCTCCCCCCTCCCAGACCAACCCCCACCCACCCCACCCACCCTGCATTGCCCCGAAATTATGGGACGCTTTTAGGAAAACCGTAAGGCCCCGAAGGCACCCAGGCCTCACCACAGAAACGTCGCGGAAACATGAATATGTTTGACGTGCGCGTGTCCGGGCGGCGTTTTAAAGTCAATGTTGGGAATAAAGACGATTTTGCGCGGTATCGAACTTGTGTTTTTAAGTCGCTGCTGCTCAAGTGGCGTTTGGCGACATGCTAACGGAGAAGCAAATCGGCGCTCTGTATTTGCTAGATTGCATAAGCGGGAGGGCTGTGTTTTGCTTGATGTGATTGGTGCGATTTTGGCACGCGCGCGCTGCGGCCAATCGCAGGCGAGTAAAATTGATTGATGCGCCTATGTGACGTGGGAAATAAAATGTAGGTGAAGGTGTAATTTTTAGGGCCTCGATAGTGTGTGGCTTTTGAAGTTGAATGTCCAAACTTTTAATCTGACGTTTGTCATGAGATTTGGACGGAAACCCATGACGAATTTAACAGCCACATGATCAGAGTAGACAGCCACGACGAATTGAAAGTGTCCGGAAAATTGCAAGATAAAAGTCACCAGCGTGAATTTGTGTAATTTTTACCAACATTTTGAGAATGTATATAATAAAGATGTGATATGAATTTATGTTCATTATTATTTATTCCAAATTAGTTGAAATGGAAACACAGTATTGTAATTTGTTTATTTTGTCGATTTAAATGTTATGAAATGGAAATTAACAAATAACCTCACCTCACCAAAAAATCTAACTGAAATTGTATTTTTAAATGGGATAAAATAAAACCTTTTGCAAACCAGCTGACCACTTACATTCCTTACATTTTTAATGTATTTTTCAATGTATTTAATTCAAGTAGATTTTGGATATTTCCTGTTAGAGTGTTATGTGCACTGTATATGTAATAAATTATATACGGGATAATGAAACACATTAATTTAAAAGATGGCATCAAGTCTTGTTCAAATGGTGGCCCTAGGAGAATCTGCGTAATGTGGTTTTGTAATTGGACGCATTAACATTTGATCCTTACTAATATACATTTTACTGTATATCAGCAACATTCAGTTCCCCTGAAAATTGTATGCAATGAATTAATGTATCAATATGCAAGTCATAGGAGTAAGAGTTATTTGGTAATTTTCACAACTGGAGCACAGTATTCTGGAATGCATATTGATTCATAGAACTGCTCCATCATCCATGATCTATCTATCTATCCAATGCCCCCCCTCCACCCCAAAGTCATCACCATCTCTCATAGTCTTGCAATGCAACAATTCATCTAGCTCCTGCATATAAGCTGATTTCATCACTCCATCTCTCTAGTGTTCTTGAACGTGTTCCCTTACTTGGCCACCACTCCGTTGTTATTCTCAACCACTAGCGACATATCCTGCCCAAGCCCACTTTTCTTAACAGTCAGCATAATATATCTTACTTGCATTTGTTCTCTAATCCAAGTGTGTCTCTTGTCAGTGTAATTCCACACATGGCCCTATACTTGCTTATTTGTGCAATTTTTAGTTTTAAATGTTCTTTGATTGGCCTTCAGTAATATACCCTGATTTTATATATATACCTAAGACAGTTATTGTGGGCAGATATATAGAGGCGCATAAGAGGATCTTGTAGTGCTTTTGGAAATTTATGACTAATAACACTGTAACAAATAAAAAATGTGGTTCCTGGGTAGTAAGTGTTATTTCTTAATAAGCCTCAAAAGTATGGAAAATGGCTATTCCCCACAAACTTTGCTTTTGTGACCAGGACACAAAAGCAAAGGTAATAATCCACTCTATTAATAACAGTGTAACACATTTTTTTTGTTCCTGGGTAAGTAAGTTATTTCCTAATTGCTTATGCCTCAAAAGTACAGAAAATGGCTATTATTCCCGACAAACTTTGCTTTTGTGACCAGGACAGTGATATTTAGAAATGTACCTATTTTCAATGAGAAAACGTGTGCATTTGTGTCTCTCGTTCACATAAAGCCCTGGTCACACAAGCAAAGTTTGTGGGAAATAATAGCCATTTTCTATACTTAGGCATAGGCAATTAAAAAATGACACTTACTACCCAGGAACAAAAGTTGTGTTACATAGTGTAATATAAAGCAACGTGCATAAAGAAGCATTGTCCCATAAGTATTTATTTACGGTTGCAGTGTAGTAAATATTTCAGTAACCTAAGTATTTCTTACTGCCTGTTTTGTGTGGCAAAGGATAGTGAAAACTTAGTAGTCTGCCCAGTGAAGGCATGTAAATGATATTGCGGTTTGTGAAACTTCACAGACGTGTTCTTACATTTACTCGACTTAATACCTTGTAGCATATGTAATGTACACATTCATGCGTGTATGTGATGGATGGTAGTCAACATTGCGCATTCATAAATTCACGTTTAGCAATACATTTGGTTATATATTGCATCAACATGCCAGATTGAAACATTATTTATTTACGACTGCTATTTGTGTTTAGTTTGTTGTCATTCCCCCAAACCTCCGCTTAGCACGGTTAGCTATGGACTGTGCGAAAGAAGTTCAACAAACATACATACTATGTGTAGCTACTGTGCTCTGTGTGGAAAATACACACAAGGGATCCTCTCTGGGCCGCAGGGAAACTCTACACCCTCTTGGTTAGCATGGTATTATTGTGTCTGTTGAGCCCATGCCACACATTTCTGCCCTTTTGCTTTTGGTGCCAATTTCATGGCGGTGAATTCTACTTCCATTATGCTTGTATTGACATTGGTTTTCAAGCATTCATGTTATTTGTAAAACCTCTGTTTTTTTTATTTTCCAATTTTTGACAAATACATTAACTGAGCACACTATTCCATATTTACAAGATCAGAATACAGTGGTACCTCGGTATAAGTCGTTAATTCGTTCCAGAAGGTAGGAGGACTTATACCGAAAATGACGAATACCAAACGAATTTTTCCCATAAGAAATAAAGGGAAAGGAAATAATCTGTTCCAGAGTATAAGAAATTATATTTTATATGGTATAGTATACATTAATAGGGTTGTATACAATAATGTAGACACTACTTATTACTAAAATGCATAAATAAATTCAAATAAATGCATAAATAAATTGAAAAAAAAACAACATCACTTTACCTTGCTGAGAGGAGTTGATAGCCTACGAGGATGGTGGTGAGGAAGGGGAGGAGGAGGAGATATTATTTTTTGGAAGGAGAGTCCCCTTCCAGTAAAACTTCAGGAAGCTGAAATTCTGCGGTTTTTTCTATTTCTCCTTTCTGTCTTTTTTCTTGACTTGTACCTGGTTGAGGCTCACCAGGTTTGAGTTTTACTAAAAACCTGTCCATTGAAGTTTGTTTTGAGAGTTATAGCAAGGGTTGTGCATTGAACGAAATCTACTGTACAGGTAGACTGAGGAGCGGCGCTTTGTTTCAGTCGTGAACAGGGGTCTACGCGGGTACGCGGTGACTCATCCCGACCCATACAAGTTCTAGCAAGCGCGCCGTATCCCAAGCAAGACGTCGTATCCCAAGACAATTTTTTCTCGTCAAAACACGACGTATACCAAATTCGACGTATTCCAAAGCGGTCGTATACCGAGTTATGACTGTATAGTGCACCTTTGCATAACCCATATCCCAGTTTTTAAATTACAATAATTGTAAATAATTATTTTTTGTATCGCTACATGAATGTGGTTCATAACTCTGTTACTTAAATAAATGTGTCGATATTCATGTACAGTATACATATATTCCACAAATTATCCAGTGTTCATACTCTTTGGTTTTTTCGGTAAAGTCACATAGGTAAAATAAAAATAAAAGAAAACAAATAAATTACAAATTGAGTTGTACCTGTGGTGACTGCTATATCGGGGAGATGAAACGGCATATTTCTGACCGAATTCGCGAGCACAAATCAGATTTGAAACACGGCAGAACGAATTCTTCGTCCGTGGCTGATCATTGTTTCAACACAGCGTGTTCTCATGACATTATTTTCTCTGATACCAAAGTACTATGCAAACCTCCCGGTCATTACCAAAGATTTGTCCGTGAAGCCATCCAGATATACAAACATAGACACAACTTCAACCGAGAGGATGGTTTCAAATTGAGCAACTTTTGGAAAGATGTCATCAACCAAGTCAAACGTTAGCTGGCTGATAATTGTACAGCCGTTTCCGTTTCTACCAGGATGGTGCTTGCTCTCGTGCAGCACGCCATCGCCCTCCCCCCGAACCCCCTGCAGCATAAGAAAAGGGTGTTGTGCTCGCTTTCTTGCAGTGCACCACCGCTCCCCCCGAACCTTCTGCAGCATAACAAAAGGCGGCTTAACTTAGCCCTCCCCTCTCCACCCACGTCCCTTCCTGGCTCCCCCCCCCCCCCCCTTAACCTGTATATAAGCTCTGATGTCCCAGAGCTGTTCTCTTGATACAGCGAACTTTGTTGTGTCTTCCACCTGAAGACGGAAGCTTGTGTTGCCTCCGAAACGTCGTGATTTAACTTAGTTTTTTTCTTTTATTTTATTTTTATTTTACCTACGTGACTTTACCGAAAAAAACACAGAGTATGAATCCTTGCAGTCACGAAAGCTTCAAATCTAGAATTATCCAGTGTTGTTGATTTCCAAAATCATGAGCAAACACAAGATCCAGGTACGATTCAACACAGTACATAAATTTCATGATTTGATCCCTTCTGTGAAGGATGCGATCCCCGAGATTCAGTACCCCGGTGTCTACAAACTAAGCTGTGTCCGCGACAGCAGTTACATTGGGGAAACTAAGCGACATGTCTCGGACCGGGTCCGTGAACAGAAGGCAGATCTGAAACACAGTAGGACCAATACCTCAGCCGTAGCTGATCATTATGTTAACACTGTGGGCACACACGAAATTGATTTTGCCAAGACGAAGGTACTCTGCAAACCCACTGGCTATCAACAAGGATTCGTTCATGAAACGATCCAGATATTTCAACACAGACACAATTTCAACCGAGAAGATGGGTACAAATTGAACAATAATTGGAAGGACGTTATTAACCAGTTTAGGTCATAACTCGCTGTGATGTTCCTATCCTATCTAGCAGTTATTTTCGACTCTCTGAGTTACATTAACTAACACAGCCACTGTTAGCTGTGTTAGTAAATGGCGGCTTGCCATTCTTTTCCACCTCCATGTGTCCATGTGGCCACTGCGCTGTCTTACATTGACATGCTAATCTCTTACAATACAATGGCCACCCCCCACAGCCACATTCACTAACACAGCCACCATTAGCCATGTTAGTAAATGGCGGCTTGCCATTTTTTTCCACCTCCATGTGGCCACTGCGCTGTTTTACATTGACATACTAATGTCTCACAATACAATAGCCACCCCCCACAGCCACATTCACTAACACAGCCACCGTTAGCCGTGTTAGTAAATGGCAGCTTGCCATACTTTTCCACCTCCATGTGTCCATGTGGCCACTGCGCTGTCTTACATTGACATGCTAATCTCTTACAATACAATGGCCACCCCCCACAGCCACATTCACTAACACAGCCACCATTAGCCGTGTTATTAAATGGCGGCTTGCCATTCTTTTCCACCTCCATGTGGCCACTGCGCTGTTTTACATTGACATACTAATGTCTCACAATACAATGGCCACCCCCCACAGCCACATTCACTAACACAGCCACCGTTAGCCGTGTTAGTAAATGGCAGCTTGCCATACTTTTCCACCTCCATGTGTCCATGTGGCCACTGCGCTGTCTTACGTTGACATGCTAATCTCTTACAATACAATGGCCACCCCCCACAGCTCCGTAGTACTTTCCCCATATTGGCATTAGCTGCCGCGCCCATCTCTAAACCATTTGTAAACAGCTCGTTGATTGGTGTAGACCTAATGCAGGTTACGGAGACGTCTCCTACATTAACATTAGCTGCCCCGCCCATCTCTAAACCTTTATAAACAGCTCTTTGATTGGTGTAGACCTACTGCCGGTGTCGGAAACCTCTCCTATATTAACATTAGCTGCCCCGCCCATCTCTAAACCTTCATAAACAGCCGGCCTCGGCAGATTTCCCCCTCTTTTTTCACCTGAAGACGATTGCTCGTGTTGCGATCGAAACGTCGTGATATTGTTATTATTTTGATTATTTTTTTCTATCTACGTGACTTTACTGGAAGACCCAAATAATATTAATATGGTTTGATTTTCATAAGTGCATATTTGTTTAATAAACATTACCAAGGTTAGCTTGCAGTTAAAGTTTGTGAGATAGTTTGTGTAGTGAAAATTTGTGCATATATCTGACAATTTTCTATGAGCATAATGGCTGAGGGACATATTTGCTCATTGTAGCACTGAAGGGGGCCCTGAAGGGGCTTTCATCGTAGGCTGGCAACACTAATAATGATTCACCTTGCGGTGTTTTTAATAACTGTATAATGAACTGTGTGCGCATTAAAAAAATAACTGCTGGCTATTGATGGTAAAATATTGATTATGAAATGGGGTGTTAATATTTCAGAGCCTGCCTCTCAGCCCATATTACATCACTTGGCGTTAAAAGCAATGTTATGAGATAGCTGGGTGGCCTGGGTGTAATGCGCCGTGTCGGAGCGCTGAGAAAACACCTCTTCGGAGAGTATGCACTCAGGCTCCCAGTTGTGCTCAGCGAAAATTGAATGCATCTCAGCGCAGATGCACAGCATGTTTAATAGACCTGAGCTCCAAGCCCATTCACAGTTGACTGCACCAAAGGAACGAATGCTACTGTGAGTAATATCCCAAGCAATGTGTTTCATATATAGCAGTGTCTGCAGGCATAAACTACTTCATCATATTCCTTCTTTAACCCGCTGCTGGATACATGTTATAGGAATGATAATAGCTATTTACCCAGGTTGGTTGGCCTGTACATGTTCTGTTATTCTGTTCCCAATGTATGTACTTGTGCCTTGGGCAATTACTGTACAGAAAGTGGGCCAGGGCCACAATGCTGAAATAAAATAGGTGGGCGAGAGCAGGTTGGGGTGCTTATGGAAAACTGAACTTAATAATGAAAATCAACATACCAATATGCCGAAATAACTTTTCTTTTAAATCAGTGTATATTACTTGCTATGATACGTGGATTGGAAACATTGATAATAAGGAAGAAAATTAAGTGAAAGCTGAAAAATATGTAATAAAGGATTGAAAATTGCCCGCTTGGAATTATACTGAGATACAGAAAATGGATCCGAGAGCAAATGAAAATTACACATCATTGACTTCAGAAAATTAAGTAGGCCAGTTGAGGACATGTCGCTGGAAGGGATGATAGCTAGTGGTCAAGACTAACAATGGACTGGCAGCCAAAGAAGGGAACATGTCCGAGAGGATAACCATTATCTGAATCAAAGAATGAGATCCGCTCATGTGCTGGAGCAAGATGGATTGTTGCATTGCAAGGGTGAGGATCAGAATGGCTTGGAAAAGCCTTCATCCAGCAGTGGATAGATCATGGATGATGATTTTGACTTTAGCCAGGAAGGACTCAACCCATTTGCAAAACTATTTTGGAGTGTCTTGATCAGGCTGTTTTTTCAGTAAATATATGTTTGTGGGAACCTTGATCACCAAATATTCCGTAGCCTATATGTCAGCAATTTACATGCCGTAGTGTCACATACTGACACCTTGCTGCCATGGCAGATTAATGTTTCACACACAATGAACTCTGTATGAACTATCAATCCTACTTCCAAACAATTTGATCACAGGCATGCACTACCACGCATGCTCTACCATGCATGCACTACCACACATGCACTACCACGCATGCACTACCACACATGCTCTACCATGCATGCACTACCACACATGCTCTACCATGCATGCACTACCACACATGCTCTACTATGCATGCACTACCACACATGCTCTACCATGCATGCACTACCACACATGCACTACCACCCATGCACTACCACGCATGCATAACTATAGGCATGCGCTGTCATCCTATATCCTTCAGTTCTGTACAGCTGCCATGGAGTTTATTTATCCTTTGCCTCTATTTCCCTGCTCTGTACTCAATTTGTTTGGTCCTTAAATATGCAATTAAGGGTGTCCTAATCATCTCAACAGATACAGACGTATTGACTTTATTTTACCAGGTAGAGCTCCCTGAGACAACAAGTTTATTTTGCAAAGTTGAGAGATAAAAATATGCACTTTAGACACCAAAACAGATTTGTGATCTGCAATCGAAGTTGATTTTCACATCAGCAAAAACAACAAGTCATGCCATACTGAGTGCAGTCTGTTCTCTTATAACGCGTGTTTTTATAACACAGATTGGATATAACACGATCAATGTGTTAGGGAACCATTTATTATAACCCGGATGCGAATTCAATATAACGTGATTGAGTGAACAGAACTATGTCACGCGAGTAGGAATAAGCGATTGTACGGCTGCCTCTGTGTAGCATTACACAAGGCGGGATGCTGCTGGATATTTCTAGATGCTACCCACACACATCAGTTTTTGTTCAGCCTGCATACGGAACTCGCTTATTATCGCTAATCCTACCCTGTATTATATAGAATTTATTATAACGCGATTTTTCAATAATGTGGTGTTCTTTAGGAACGCAATTACGACTTTATAGGAGAACAGTGTGTAATTCCTTTGTTTAAAGCTGCAAATTTGGCCTCAACATTGCAGTGCGTTGGGGTATCTCCACGCACACTGGCATGTGATGACATGTTAAATAAAACAAGTGCATTAAAACGTGCCACCACCACATATTGACTCCACCGTATACGCGTGGCCACAATAGTGAAGGTGATTAAACGGTTTCACCCGTGTGGTTTCGCTGCCATTAGTTTACGGAGGAGAAGCTCGGTGGGGCGGAGCGCACCGAGCTCGACGCGCACTTTGAGAACCTGATGACGCGAGCGGACAGCACCAAGAACTGGACGGAGAAGATCATGCGGCAGACGGAGGTGGTTCTGCAGCCCAACCCAAGTAAGGGGCTCGCGGTGTCCATGCATGTTGGCTATTAATGATCCTCTGCTTAGCTGTGGATGTTTTCTGTGGTGTAATGGTTATCAGCACGCTGGACCTGCAATCCAGAGGTCACCAGTTCGATTATATGTCTTGGCTCGGCAGTTGAAACAATGGAACAAGTGTCTTAAATCGCCCGCCTCTGTCCACCCAGCAGTATAAATGAATACAGGACATATTCTTTGGGTCTTTCGGTAAAGTCACGTAGATAGGTTCAAAGGAAATAACAAAAATTATGACTATTATTCTTAGTTTTTTCGGTAAAGTCACTAAGAATTTTTTTATTGTTATATATATATTATTATTTTGTTGTTTCTCTTCAACGTGACTTTACCGAAAAAAACTAAGAATATGAATTACTGCAGTCACGAAAGCTTTAAATCAAAATTTAAAAATTATGACGTTTAGATCGCAACACAAGCAGTCGTCATTAGGAAAAGGGGGGTTAGCTTCTAAAGGCAACTATTTATAAAGGTTTGAAATGGGCGTAGCCCAAATGTCAACAGCCAATGATAATGTGAGTGGTGGGCAGCGACTGCGGCGGTGGTGGGTTCTCCACCAATCACAGGGCTGCCAGGTAAAAATTTGCATGTTAATGGGAGATCGCCGAGCAGCCTCCACGGCGAGTGCGCCGAGGTGGCTATGTTAATGTGAGAGATTAGCATGTTAATGTGAGAGATTAGCATGTTAATGTGAGAGATTAGCATGTTAATGTAAGATCGGTGAGCGGCCTCCACGTCGAGCGTGCTGAGGTGGCTATGTTAATGTGAGAGATTAGCATGTTAATGTGAGAGATTAGCATGTTAATGGGAGATTGCCGAGCGGCCTCCACATTGAGCGCGCCGAGGTGGCTATGTTAATGTGAGAGATTAGCATGTTAATGGGAGATTGCCGAGCGGCAACCTCGAGGTTGGCGAGCGAGGTGGCTGTGTTGGTGTGAGAAATTTAACCTGTTAATGTAAAATCAAGGAGCCGAAAATAACAACTAACATCGGAAGGTGGTAGGATGGGAACATCACAGCCAGTTATGACTTAAACTGGTTAATAACGTCCTTTCAATGATTGCTCAGTTTGTACACATCTTCTCGGTTGAAATTTGTGTCTGTATATGTGGATGGCTTCATGAACGAATCTTTGTTGGTAGCCAGTGGGTTTGCAAAGTACCTTCGTCTTAGAGAAATCAATTTCGTATGAGCCCAACGTATAAAAACAATGATCAGCCACGGCAGAGGTATTGGTCCTACCGTGTTTCAGATCTGCCTTATATTCACAAACACGGTTCAAGACATGTTGCTTAGTTTCCCCCAATCTAACTACTGCCGCAGACATAGCTTAGTTTGTAGACGGGATCACATCCTTCTCAGATGGGATCAGATCACGAATTGTATGTACTGTGTTAAATCATGTTTGCTCATGATTTTAGAAATATTTTTGGTAACCCCTGCTATGTATGGCAAGGTGATGGTTTTGATTGGGTCCTCAGATGTTTCTTTCCCAACGGTTGGAGTGATAGCTTTATGGATTGTGTAGTCTGAATATCCATTCATCTTCAGAGCTTGGTGTACATGTTCCAGTTCACTGGCTAGGTGATGATAGTCGGAAATACATCGAGCTCTATAGTGTAGGGTTTTGATTAGGGAATTCTTCTGGGAAGGATGGTGGTGGGAGTCAGATTTTAGATATGTATCTGTTTGGGTGATTTTCCTGTACACAGTGTCCCATTGAGCCATCTGGTCTCTTTTCGATTAAAACATCCAAGAATGGTAGCTTGCTATTCTTTTCCACCTCCATGGTGAATTTAATGGCTGTGTGTATGGAATTGATGTGGTTGAGGAATTGGTTCAGAGCTGGTCGGCCATGTGGCCATATGACGAACGTGTCATCTATGTATCTCTTCCACAAGGACAGACGTAGAGTGGATGCCTGCATGGCATCTGTCTCAAAATTTTCCATGAAAACATTGGCTACAACTGGAGATAAGGGAGAACCCATTGGGGTACCTTCAGCTTGTTTGTAGAATGTTCCATTCCAGGTGAAGTAAGTGTTGGTGAGGCAGTGTCTAACCAAGGCAGGTACATCAGCATTCAGTCCTTGTTGGACTAAATCTTGAATGATTGCAATGGTGTCAGGCACAGGAACTTTGGTAAACAAAAAGACTACATCGAAACTAACGAGCAAATCACCTGGAGATAGTGAGATGTCCTTAATTAATGATACCAAGTGAGCTGAATTAAGTACAGCTGAGGTGGTCTTACCAGTGAATGGTTGTAATGTCTCGGACAGAAATCGGGCCAGTTTGTAGATGGGTGAGTCAATGGTGGAGACGATAGGATGAAGGGGTGTACCTTCTTTATGGATTTTTGGTAAGCCATACAGTCTGGGTGGTCTAGCAGCAGAGGGTTTTAAGGAAAACCGCTTGGTTATGAACAGTTGCCTTTAGAAGTTAACCCCCCTTTTCCTGATGACGACCACTTGTGTTGCGATCGAAACGTCGTAGATTTTTGTTATTTTCTTTGAACCTATCTCCGTGGCTCGACCGAAAGACCCAAAGAATGTGAATTCCTGCAGTCACGAAAGCTTCAAGTCAAGAATACAGGACAGTTTTTCGGATGGTCGATCGCGTGTGGGTGGAATAAAGTGTAGGTACTGACACTTCTTCCAAGAAGTCTTGCCGGCATGGAAGAGGAGGCCAAATACCATCTGGAGAGGTTCTCTTGGGCTCCTCGTGGTTCACCTTTCTGCCAAGAGGAGCTTGAGCAAACAATTGCGGGTCTCCACCTTGATTTTTTTTTGACTCGCCATGAACAATTTATATTATGTTAGCATTGCTGTTGAAAAATATGTACGTATATATTTCATTTGCTATTTTTTTCACGAGTGCAATTTCTGTGAGTGGAATCCTAGGAATATGTGGGACAGTACCAGCTGTTGGCCACTCAGGAATTGTTAATGTTGTGGAGCATAATGGTTGTGCATCTGGGTTTAGTGTTCCCATTTGGTCAATTGGTAAGAGCGGCTGTTTATATGAATCTTTGCAAACATGCACAGGTACAAACTGGAGTGAGTGGAAGTGTTAACTTATAATTGTGTTGTTTATTGTTTGCTGATATTTTCTCGTAGGGAAATCCCCAAGTTGCCAATGAAAGAATTATCCTCATTTACTTCCTACACTCCGTTGTCTGCTTCACGGATAATTCCCATGACAATTCCCTCCACACAGCACACAGCACACCACTCGCAACACAAAACCTCAATTTATCTGCTTTAGCAACACCACTTCAACTGTATTTCCCAAAATTATGCCCAGAACCATGAATTGTTGTTAAGAGATGTGAGCGTGGTGTTTATTTTAATTATTCTCTCTTTGGATGGCTTTGGTTGTTAACATGATTATACCCTCCCCTTTATATATGTGTTATTGTTTTACAATAATTTTAGTTGCAATTTAATTGAAAATAGAGCTGCCCTAATGTATTACATGAACACTATAACATGGACACTGTGACTCATTCTGGGTTAAAGTAGCTGTGTGCATTGTGGTTCATATCGGCTCAACATCAACATTTCTAGGCAGGCGTTTACCTTCACACTTCGGCTTATTGTGCATGGCCAGGTGTTTTAAACACAAAACCCACAAACCATTCCCACTGGTGAGATCTGCGGCTTGGAACACCAGAGGCCAGTCGCACGACTGCCAAAAAAACGGTTGCCCAAGCCATCCTAAGCACTTGAATGTAATTTTCCAATCAAAGGTAAGTAAAATTGGACTTGGCCAGTAAACTAATATGTTTGGCCAAGAAGGCAACGTGCAGTGATAGCTCGCCAACTCAAATGATCCGTAACTTTCCGTAAGCCCTACAGGGTACTCCCGTGAATGTCTAGAGAGTAAAAGCCAAGGCAGCATTCGTGCTGACGGAAGGCCGGAAAGAACTATCAGAGTGGGCACACGCCCTTTTGTTGGTTGCGTAAAGACGAGCTCGCATGGTTTGTGGTGGGTGAGGTAGCATTCCGCAATAGATTTAATTAGAGGGTTGAACAGGCCTCAAGCTTATATATGATGGTGAGAGTCCAGTGTTGCAATACGTCAAAAACACACACACAACAAGACTCGCATGAGATACAGATATCGATGTTTGTGACAATTCGCTTTTTAACTTTAAAGAGTTCCATTATAGAGATGAGACTTTAACTAGCATTCTAAAATTTGGTTGATAAAACATTTAAGAGTTTCTAAATATTTATCTAATTTCATTTGTTTTTCTCGGTCATGTGAAACTGAAGTCTTAACATTTTATTTTAAATGAACCATTTGGCGGAAAACAATTTTTCATAGTTCAATTGTAATATGACGGCACCAAGAAATGTAATTCCAGGTGAGCACATTTTGAGAGTATGGGAAGCAAATTTCTGCCCCTCTTGTGAGGTGCAACAATTCAGTGGGCCTTTTCCCATTTCATTATTGTCACTCACTGCTCTAAAAATGAGGTTTGTAATTTTCACATTAGAGAAATTTAGCAGCTCGTGAAATTTGACACGCCCTTTATTTTATTCGCATTCATCCTCTCCAATGGACTTGACGTTTCATTGATCGATGGCTTAATAGTTGCACTGAGCTCAGGTGTGAGTCACAGATTACTTTTTCTTCTTACAAGGCGCTTCAGGTCTATGCTGGAGGTGGGGCATGGCAGAGCAGAGTATAAGGGCAGGCTGTGCGATGGATGACAAAGTGCGCTCTTGATACGGAAAGAATGGATCGGGTAGAGCCCTTAGGAGTCCTGCAGCTGTACACTATGTAGATAGATCTAGCAGGTCTGCAGAGGGCTATACATGCCACCCATTCATGAATGCCTCATGTGTGATACATCAGTGTAATATACATAGCTACTCCTTAGAGCTGTTTTGGAGCTCACTTGTCTTTGCCTGGCTGTTTACTTGCGACAGGTCTACAAACTGTAAAAGGAGGGGTCATCTTATGTACATTCTTACTTAAAGCTGGAGGAAGCTCTCTTTTCATACTGGATTGACCGGGTTCTTTTGTAGATTGCTAACGGCAGGATATGCCCAGGACAGCTCAAAATGTGAATTGCTTGGAACACTATCAATCATGCATTTAAGTGTATGGGTCACACCCATCTTTGAGAAGCCACAAAGGCAATTGCAGAAAATTGTGTTGCACCTTTCTTGAAAGACAGGGGTTACTGACAATGTTGCTTGTAAAATAGGGTGAACCGATTTATGAAGAGATAGATTGACTAGATAGCATGTTTCAAGAATTACAAGAGACTCTAAAGACACCAAGGCACTTGAATATTCTAACATGTGACATACTATTCATGCTCTATTCCTTTCTCTTGTTTGGTGTAGTGGCAGTATATGCTGTTGCTTGCCACTGACCTTCCCCTGGGTGGGATTGTGGTCTGTAGGCTTTCTCAGGCTAAATCCCATCTTTCTCTAATACCATATCCACCCCTTGTTGGGTATTCTCCCTGGAATTTTCTGTTCGCTTTGCTGAGCAGTGGAGCCTCTGCGATCCTTTCATTTGGCATTCTGCTGACATGCTCAGACCATTTAAAATAGTTAGGTCATCCCGAGTGCTCTGGTGATGGCTTTTTAATATTGCCAATTGTTCAACATCTGATTGAATTGTCACCTTACTTTTTCAGTACAATTTAATGGTGGCTGGCAGGCCTGGAGGTCAACACACTCACCATTGGGCCATTTTGCCTGTAGTCATTATGTTCAGCTTCTGCAAGTGCCTGCTCAATAGCACAAGGCGTTGTCAAAGTGCACAGTGTCCTTTAAATTGAATGTAAACAAATTGAGTGATATTATTCTCAGGAGAAATCTCAGAGTTTAAAATGACCTGCAATTTGACACTGCGTGTATTTTTCTAGATATAAAAGTGTCCCTGTAAAAACATTAATTTATCTCATTTGGCTGTCAATTAGTTAATTGATAAGGTTCAGCAGAAGCAGCCACTAACTGTTTGCTAAGCATACGTGTGATAAAGTGCCACTGCATGCAGGCACAAATTGGTTGTCAAAAGCCACCATAGCTTAGGTAGACCAACCTTCAAACAATCCATTCATGAATCAATGTTCCTTACAGCGGCTCAATGAAGTACAACTATCGCTTGTGTAACTGGCTGGTTCTGTCGATTGAGCTAGCAGCCTCCGTTTGAGGCATGTGCCTGGCGTTTGGAAGGGCCTAACACAAGGGTCTGGAGTAACCGCCGTACCGGTCGAGAGGTTAACGTGTGTCTGTGCGTGCGTGCGTGTGTGCGTGCGTGCGGCAGCGGCACGGGTGGAGGAGTTCGTGTACGAGAAGCTGGAGAAGAAGGGGCCTGCCCGACAACGCACGGTGGAGCTGCTGGGCCAGTACATGACCGATGCTGGCAATGACTTTGGTGCAGGAACCCCCTATGGTGAGGCCAACATACACAGCCACTTGCTCATGCAACCTAAATAAGCAATGTATGTAGCAGCCAGAAAGCCTAGCAGTCACTGTGATTCCACAAAGTTCACACCTAAATTCCTACAACCGCTGATAATGGTAATACTGTAACGTCAAGTATTTCTGCAGGAAAGACTCGCCGAGTCTCAAGACTTTATCTCTTTTCATAAGTCAGTAAAAAAATATAATTCAATCCTTTAAAAAAAATTACGCTGAATGGATATGTTTGTTTTCTCACCACAATGAAACGAAACCTGTTATGCTGTCCCATTTGTAAGGTGGCAGCTTGTGTAAGCTGATTGTGACCATGTCAAAGTCTGCTTTCAGCCCAGGCACACTGCACATTGTTCACAAGGCCAGCAAAAAAAATAGGAACCAAAATAGTGATTAAATTAAACTTCGAAAAATAAAGTGTATGCAAGCTCACACATGGACAAGAGGCATTCACACGCAAAGAAAATCCGCATATACCCTCAGTAATTTCAATTATCGTACTTTGGAACAAATATCATCACATCTCAAAAGGTACTTTGGGTTTAAGCAGAGTAAATATTTGAATGTGAAATCACACGGGAATTAAATTGGGCTGTATCTGTATAGTCTTCACTGCTGAGTGTCAGTGCACTCTTGCCTCTGGCATAGAGCCCAACCGACACCCCAGTGTGATGCTGTAGGGACATGTTTTGCTGCATGAGGTAGCGTGTTTACGATGTTAATATGCCGTCCTGTCTCCTCGGTGGATATGAAATAGCCCATGGCATACATCCATAAAGAACAAGAATGTTGGTTGACCCTAGTGTCTGGGCTAACATCGCACAATAGGGCAATAAAATGTCTAATGTGGCCAAATTGCCAATACCTTTTGAGTTTCTAAAAGCAGGTCTTCACCCTGAAGATTGTAGGCCCCCATGCATTGAGACACATCCATGACCAGTTGTAGCCATAACATTTTCAAAATGTGGCAAATAGACAAGTGAGTAGACAGGAGTGGAGTGTTAAAATGCAACCTAAAATACTACAGTGGAGGATGTTTTACTTGTTTGTGTGAATATGAACTTGTTATCACATTATTTTGTTTTGCAATCTAAACTGTGCTGTCACATTAAGGTGTACCGCGAGCTGTAGGAATTTACAAAGGGAAAGGTATGCTGATGTAGACACGATTAATTTCTATTCCTTTCTTTTTGTTCAAATAACGAGTGCAATAATTTTTTAGGGAATACGCCAGCTGTGAGACGAGGGACTTTTAAGAATCCTAGCAAGCCTCCAATAAACCCATATTCACAGAATCAGAACAAGGGGCTGCAACAACAGACTCAAGGTGAACCTTGCGTACAGCTTGACTGTCAGGGTGGGAACTGGGTAAATAATAAGGTGCTCAGAGACCATTTATGGACCAGTCACGCTGCCTGCGCGTGCAACATTTGCAATTTCAGGTTGTCAGCACGGCACGCATGAAACTGTAAACATCGAAGTGGGTCGAGATCTACTGTGGGCTGCGACACACTGCCAGCTCACCGCTTTTCACGTATTTCTGTAATATCGTTTTTTCCCCCATTTGGGGGATATACAGTGAGGGAAAAAAGTATTTGATCCCCTGCTGATTTTGTACGTTTGCCCACTGACAAAGCAATGATCAGTCTATAATTTTAATGGTAGGTTTATTTGGACAGTGAGAGACAGAATAACAACAACAAAAATCCAGAAAAATGCATGACAAAAATGTTATAAATTGATTTGCATTTTAATGAGGGAAATAAGTATTTGACCCCCTCTCAATCAGAAAGATTTCTAGCTCCCAGGTGTCTTTTATACAGGTAATGAGCTGAGATTAGGAGCACACTCTTAAAGGGAGTGCTCCTAATCTCAGCTTGTTACCTGTATAAAAGACACCTGTCCACAGGTGCAATCAATCAATCAGATTCCAAACTCTTCACCATGGCCAAGATCAAAGAGTTCTCCAAGGATGTCAGGGACAAGATTATAGACCTACACAAGGCTGGAATGGGCTACAAGACTATTGCCAAGCAGCTTGGTGAGAAGGTGACAACAGTTGGTGCGATTATTCGCAAATGGAAGAAACACTAAAGAACTGTCACTCTCCCTCGGCCTGGGGCTCCATGCAAGATCTCACCTTGTAGAGTTGCAATGATCATAAGAATGGTGAGGAATCAGCCCAGAACTACACGGGAGGATCTTGTCAATTATCTCAAGGCAGCTGGGACCATAGTCATCAAGAAAACAATTGGTAACACACTACGCCGTGAAGGACTGAAATCCTGCAGGGCCCGCAAGGTCCCCCTGCTCAAGAAAGCACATATACATGCCCGTCTGAAGTTTGCCAATGAACATCTGAATGATTCAGAGGACAACTGGGTGAAAGTGTTGTGGTCAGATGAGACCAAAATGGACCTCTTTGGCATCAACTCAGCTCGCCGTGTTTGGAGGAGTAGGAATGCTGCCTATGACCCCAAGAACACCATCCCCACCGTCAAACATGGAGGTGGAAACATTATGCTTTGGGGGTGTTTTTCTGCTAAGGGGACAGGACAACTTCACCGCATCAAAGGGACGATGGACAGGGCCATGTACCGTCAAATCTTGGGTGAGAACCTCCTTCCCTCAGCCAGGGCATTGAAAATGGGTCGTGGATGGGTATTCCAGCATGACAATGACCCAAAACACACGGCCAAGGCAACAAAGGAGTGGCTCAAGAAGAAGCACATTAAGGTCCTGGAGTGGCCTCGCCAGTCTCCAGACCTTAATCCCATAGAAAATCTGTGGAGGGAGCTGAAGGTTCGAGTTGCCAAATGTCAGCCTCGAAACCTTAATGACTTGGAGAAGATTTACAAAGAGGAGTGGGACAAAATCCCTCCTGAGATGTGTGCAAACCTGGTGGCTAACTACAAGAAACGTCTGACCTCTGTGATTGCCAACAAGGGTTTTGCCACTAAGTACTAAGTCATGTTTTGCAGAGGGGTCAAATACTTATTTCCCTCATTAAAATGCAAATCAATTTATAATTTTTGACATGCGTTTTTCTGGATTTTTTTGTTATTATTCTGTCTATCACTGTTCAAATAAACCTACCATTAAAATTATAGACTGATCGTTTCTTTGTCAGTGGGCAAACGTACAAAATCAGCAGGGGATCAAATACTTTTTTCCCTCCCTGTAGTTATTACTGATATTGATGTTTTTTTCCATGATATTTTATGAGATATTGGAACAGAGGCAGTCGCAGATTCCAAGCATATCACTTTGACATGTCATTCTTGTTTAAATTTATATATAAAAAAATGAATATAAATTGCCGTGAGTCTTTTGGCATTCAATAAAACTAGATAGTTGACCTGCTGCCTAAATATTATTTCTCCCGCTTCACATTTATGTATTTTTTTGCTTTTATTTGGACTGGTGAATGTCTTGGTTGCACTTTATCCAGTGTGTGAGCAAGGCCTATGTGATTAATAAGGTTCCACCATTACCCTCCGTCCAGATAGTCTAGTTTTTAAAATACCCAAGGCTAGTACATATACCAGCCAGCCATCCATCTCGATGAAACGTAGCATTTTATCATGGGCAGTCTATAGAACTTGCTCTGAGCAGCATTTCATCACAGGGGCCCCATCGGCCAAAACTGAGCAACGTTTTATCTTTTGAGACCCATAGGCCAGCATTGAACAGCATTTTATTATTGAAGCCCCATAGGCTCACAGTGAGCAGAATTATATTACTGCAGCCCTATAGGGCAGCAGTGAGTAGCATTTGTTTTTTTGCATTATATAAATATTGTTAGATTCAAGAACTTTGATGTTTTTTTTGTGTCGAATACCGTTTTTTTACCTAATGATTGGATTGTGCGATCTTATTTCTAAATAGAGACTGATAATAGGTTTTTCCCCTTTTTTTCTGGCAAGTATCAAAATATAAGAATAGGTTTTACACTTTATGGCATAAAACAGTTTGTGTTAAGATGTTAAAACACCAAACTGAAACCTTTTACAAGGAATCATGTCTGCATTAAACCTATTATATTTTGGTACTGGCAAGGGAGGTCCCACAATAAATAATGATATGAACACAATATATTCATGTGTGGTGAAGCATTCACACAGGTTTGGATATTCTGCTGTAAGCCCAGCGACCTGAATTCATACAGCAGCAGATTGACAAACGGCCGTATATTAGTTCAATTCAATACAAATACATACAGCCCGTGTTTGTATTCTACACACACATACACTCTTAACCTAAACATAATAATAAATAATAATTTACATTCCTTTCTTAGTTCAGTGTTTGATGAAGGCCTGCCCAAACCATGTCAGTCGTGACTATTGTTTAACCATAATTCACCATGATTTATCAGTGCTCGTTGGTTACTGGTTGTTGGGGGCAGCCAGGACATGTTCAGATATCACTTGCCACTGATGTTAGCCATGGCCAGGAATCAAACTCAGGTCACCGGGTTGATAGCGCAACACACAAATCATTATGCCACTGCAAGTACAACTTGTTTGATATTCCACTGCTAGATGAGAGAGGGGTGGGGGGGGAGAGACTCTCCACGCCTTGTATACCTTGAGGGATACTTGACCCCAGTTTATCCACTGGGTCAGTGTGGAGCGGTGAAGGTGGCGGTGGGGGGGCGAGTGCAGGACAACAATAGACTTTGCTGCACTGCCCTCAACTGCCCACAATACCTACTGCACCTGTCTTGTGTGAACGGCGTTCGTCCCTCTAAGCACACCGTGCACGTTCTGCCCTGCTCGGTGTCTGAGGTATGATGGGATCCGGCACATTCCGGGCGATTTGGTCACAGGCCGTAACTATACAGAGCGGTGTAATTCATCGCGCCATTTGCACAAACACGCACCCAGTGCTTGGGTGTTACCGATCTGCCCATTGGGTATGGCCTGGGAGTGGAAGTCCTCCGTGTGTGTCTCCCCTGTGCTCGCAGGCGGAGCCCTCATCAAGGTCGGTGAGTCGCAGAAGCTGTTGGGCCTGGCCGAGAAGGAGTTTGTGCAGGCGTCCACCATCAACTTCCTCACCCCTCTGCGCAACTTCCTGGAGGGTGACTACAAGGCAATGGCGGTGAGTGCCACTCATGAGTGTTGCTCGTCCCTCGAACGTTTATATCATTTAGATTATTTGACTGCTATAAATTCCCACATGATAGGCTGCTTAGTTGAGCGATCATTTGTGGCCAGGTCGCTTCTGAAAAATAAGCTAATAGCTCAGTGGCCTTTGCCTGGTAAAATAACATGTGTTTTTTTCCCGATTTGTTTTCCCTTCCTATACTTTGCACTTCTATCGTGTTTTTGTATTGTTTGTTGTTGTAACATTCTGATCCACCCTGACATATGTGAAAAATACCTTTATAGCTCATCGGATTCCTTCACTGGGCCATACCCATGGCTGGGGAGCCCAACCAAAGCCTCCTGGTGTGGCTTAACCTAGACCAGACATGGGCAAAGTACGGCCCCCGGGGACGTATACGGCCCCCGGGGCCGTATACGGCCCGTTGGGCTTTTTAATCCGGCCCGAATAAATTGTCCAAATATTATTATTAAATTAAATTTTACCTTTCTCCTGTAATGCCCCCATTTCCCCATTAGATGGTGCACTTTGACCAGGAGTGTGGTGTGTAGGGCTCGAAAGGGCACATGATCTCGCAATGCATTGTGGGCCGTCAGCGCCATTTTCAGGGTTTGTTTACATTGCTGAGTTAAATAAGGCTGCTCCCTTCACTTTTTCCCTTTGCCCTGTGAGCCCTTCTGTAAAATGAGCGGATCAAGGAAACGAAAAGTGGACAATGAGTGCCGAGTGTTTAACACGGAGTGGACAACAAAATACTTTTTCACTGAAGTCCAATCGAAGGCTGTATGCCTGATATGCCGAGAAACTGTCGCAGTTTTCAAGGAGTACAACATCAGCCGTCACTTTGCTACGAAGCATGCTAACTATGCTAGCAAGCAGTCAACGCAAGAACGGGCGGCTACGGCTCAGAGGTTGGCGGCTAATTTACAGACTCAGCAACATTTTTTTCACCGACAAACTGCGATTCAAGAGTCAACTACCAAGGCAAGTTTTTTGGTGGCATTCGAAATGGCATTCGAAATAGCAAGGGCTAGCAAGCCTTTCTCCGAAGGCGAGTTTGTAAAAGAATGCATGGTACAGACAGCAGACATCTTGTGTCCGGAGATCAAAAGCAAATTTGAAAAAGTCAGTTCATCACGCAGGACTTTGACTCGCCGTGTGGAACTGTTTGATGAAAATATAGCCAGCCAATTAAACAAAAAGTCTGATTCCTTTGAGTTATATTCACTAGCACTGGATGAAAGTACGGACGTAAAAGACACTGCTCAGCTCCTCATTTTTATCCGAGGCATTGACGACATGTTTTGCGATAACAGAGGAGTTTTTGACCATGGAGTCTCTGAAAGAAACAACGCGGGGAGAGGACTTGTATAACCAGGTGTCTGCTGTCATCGAAAGAATGAAGCTGCCTTGGAGTAAACTTGTCAATGTCACAACGGATGGATCGCCAAATTTAACTGGAAAAAAATGTTGGGCTGCTGAAAAGAATCCAGAATAAAGTGAAAGAGGAAAACCCTGACCAGGATCTTATTTTCCTTCACTGCATCATCCATCAGGAATCCCTGTGTAAGTCTGTATTGCAGCTTAATCACGTCGTGAATCCAGCCGTAAAACTTGTTAACTTTATACGAGCAAGGGGACTTCAGCACCGTCAGTTTATTACGTTCCTGGAGGAAACTGATGCGGATCATCAGGACTTGCTGTACCACTCTTGTGTCCGCTGGTTAAGTTTGGGGAAAGTGTTACAACGAGTGTGGGAGCTGAAAGAGGACATCATCGCATTTTTGGAGTTGATGGGGAAATCTGACGAATTCCCTGAGCTAAGCGACAAGAACTGGCTTAGTGACTTTGCATTTGCTGTGGACATATTTTCACACATGAATGAGCTGAATGTGAAACTGCAGGGGAAAGATCAGTTTGTTCACGACATGTACAAACATGTGAAAGCCTTCAAATCCAAGCTCACTTTGTTCTCCAGACAAATTGCGAACAAATCTTTTGCTCATTTCCCCACACTTGCCATGCAGGAAGAGGCACCGCGAAACGCAAAAAAATACAGCAAATCACTTGAGGACCTGCACAGAGAATTCTGCCGTAGGTTCTCTGATTTCGAAAACATTGAACAGTCACTTCAGCTGGTGTCCTGTCCCCTGTCACAAGACTCTGAAACAGCACCACAGGAGCTGCAGTTGGAACTGATAGATCTTCAGTCTGACTCCGTCCTAAAGGAGAAGTTCAACTCTGTTAAACTGAATGACTTTTATGCTTCACTTAACAGAGCAACGTTTCCAAACCTCCGGAGGACTGCACAGAAGATGCTGACTTTGTTTGGCTCGACTTGTGTGTGTGAGCAGACATTCAGCGTCATGAACGCCAACAAAGCCCGTCACAGATCAAAGTTAACGGATCAGCACCTCAGATCTATCCTGAGAATTGCCACAACCAAAATAACTCCAGACTTGGATGCACTGGCAAAAATGGGAGATCAACAACACTGTTCCCACTGAAACTGAAAGTGATGATGTGTTGCTGCAGCGAGGTTGGAGCCAAATCTCCGACACACAGCCTGCATGGCTGCTCTAACCTGTTAATGTAGACAATAAAGAAGTTCAAGTGAGCTAATTGGTTTGAGCGCAGGCCTCGGATGTTTTCATGATGTTTGATCAGTCACGTTACGACATGTTTTTGTATTGTTCATGTTCGTGCAATTTGTTAAACTGCCTTGCAAATATATGCTTTGCTACCTGTTAAAGGCCAAATCCTTTCATGTAATGATTTTTACATGTCATTTATATTAGTTCACACAAACACTCCATCCATCTGTTCCTGGCCTGGCCCCTCTGTTAAATTTTAGAACCCATTGTGGCCTGCGAGTCAAAAACTTTGCCCACCCCTGACCTAGACCGTACAGTGAGGGAAAAAAGTATTTGATCCCCTGCTGATTTTGTACGTTTGCCCACTGACAAAGAAATGATCAGTTTAAAATTTTAATGGTAGGTTTATTTGAACAGTGAGAGACAGAATAACAGCAACAAAATCCAAAAAAACGCATGTTAAAAATTATAAATTGATTTGAATTTTAATGAGGGAAATAAGTATTTGACCCCTCTGCAAAACATGACTTAGTACTTGGTGGCAAAACCCTTGTTGGCAATCACAGAGGTCAGACGTTTCTTGTAGTTTGCCACCAGGTTTGCACACATCTCAGGAGGGATTTTGTCCCACTCCTCTTTGCAGATCTTCAAGTCATTAAAGTTTCGAGGCTGACGTTTGTCAACTCGAACCTTCAGCTCCCTCCACAGATTTTCTATGGGATTAAGCTCTGGAGACTGGCTAGGCCACTCCAGGACCTTAATGTGCTTCTTATTGAGCCACTCCTTTGTTGCCGTGGCCGTATGTTTTGGGTCATTGTCATGCTGGAATACCCATCCACGACCCATTTTCAATGCCCTGGCTGAGGGAAGGAGGTTCTCAACCAAGATTTGACGGTACATGGCCCCGTCCATCTTCCCTTTGATGTTGTCCTGTCCCCTTAGCAGAAAAACACCCCCAAAGCATAATGTTTCCACCTCCATGTTTGACGGTGGGGATGGTGTTCTTGGGGTCATAGGCAGCATTCCTCCCCCTCCAAACACGGCGAGTTGAGTTGATGCCAAAGAGCTCCATTTTGGTCTCATCTGACCACAACACTTTCACCCAGTTGTCCTCTAAATCATTCAGATGTTCATTGGCAAACTTCAGACGGGCATGTATATGTGCTTTCTTGAGCAGGGGGACCTTGCGGGCGCTGCAGGATTTCAGTCCTTCACGGCGTAGTGTGTTACCAATTGTTTTCTTGGTGACTATGGTCCCAGCTGCCTTGAGGTCATTGACAAGATCCTCCCGTGTAGTTCTGGGCTGATTCATCACCGTTCTTATGATCGTTGCAACTCCACGAGGTGAGATCTTGCCTAGAGCCCCAGGCCGAGGAAGATTGACAGTTCTTTTGTGTTTCTTCCATTTGCGAATAATCGCACCAAGTGTTGTCACCTTCTCACCAAGCTGCTTGGCAATGGTCTTATAGCCCATTCCAGCCTTGTGTAGGTCTACAATCTTGTCCCTGACATCCTTGGAGAGCTCTTTGGTCTTGGCCATGGTGGAGAGTTTGGAATCTGATTGATTGATTGCTTCTGTGGACAGGTGTCTTTTATGCAGGTAACAAGCTGAGATTAGGAGCACTCCCTTTAAGAGTGTGCTCCTAATCTCAGCTCGTTACCTATATAAAAGATACCTGGGAGCCAGAAATCTTTCTTATTGAGAGGGGGTCAAATACCTAATTCCCTCATTAAAATGCAAATCAATTTATAACATTTTTAACATGCGTTTTTCCTGATTTTTTTTGTTATTCTGTCTCTCACTGTCCAAATAAACCTACCATTAAAATGATAGACTGATCATTTCTTTGTCAGTGGGCAAACGTACAAAATCAGCAGGGGATCAAATACTTTTTTCCCTCACTGTATACCCTATACCCCAACTATTGTCTGGATTCAAGTTCCAATTCTAAATCCAACTTTGGTTTGTGCTGTACTGTTTCCAGCTGTGCATCATTCATATACAAAAAAATCTCAATGTTGGCCATCGATCTGGCAGTGGTTAGAGTGTGTGTTGTTTTCACAGGACATAATTTTGCACACCACATTACCAAAATAATTTTGTTGTTTTTGTTCTAAAATATCACACTTTAGAGCTTACATTGTTAGTCTGGGGAAAAAAAAAAGTACATGCCATTTTGAGATTTTGGAAATACAATAAACTAAATCACATATTGTGGGTGCTGTGAATTGAGCGACATCTGTGCTGTTACTTAATGAGACACCAGGGGGTGGTGGTGGTGGGTGTGAACTTGTGAGAAAACATTTATGCGTGTACTTACGTGCCATGCGCGTGACAGAAAGAGCGCAAGTTGCTCCAGAACAAACGCTTGGATCTGGACGCATCGAAAACAAGGCTGAGGAAAGCCAAGGCTGCCGAGGCCAGAGCGAGCGTAAGTCATTTGCCAACAATGCACCACCAGCAGCATGCCTCGTGATGCACGCCGCATCGTGTTCTGAACACATTCTCTGGAATCTGCTCAACTGTAAACATGTGCCCCATGTTTACTAGATTTTGCTGTTTGATTGTGTGGATTCCGTCTGCCTGCTGGTGTGTTTTTTTTTGTTTCACGTTGACCTTTTACATTCTTCCTGGAACCATCCAGCAAATTGCACAACATCCTGCACTTTGTACAGCTGTCACTTTATCCAGTTGTGCGTCCATACCAGTTGTGGCACTGTGGGTTATTTATTATTTATGACTCGTATACTATTCCACTATACATTCGTACATTGTATATATAAAGGGGACGTATAATATATTTTGAGAAGACAGTCACTAGATCACAATTTGAGTATATTAGCAGCTGGATATAAGCATATATATCGTGGAAGCAAGTTCAGCTGTGCTTAGATTAGAAGTAGCATGCTTGTATTAGAATTTCCCCCTTTACCTTCTCCCTACCAAAGTAATGTGTTGCGTATACTGTGCTTATAGCGGGTGTGCTTATATACCAGCTTCTTCGGTACTAAGTTTGGATATTATGTTTCGACTATTAGTTAGTTTTTTTGGATGTGTTTTCGAGGAGCAAACCTCATTTAAGTAATAAAAAAATAAGTATCGGCTCAGAGGTTTGGATATTTATTTGAAGGGCATCGAGCGAGGGTCAGAGGAAACCACCCTTGTTGAATGATTGCACATATTGTATAGAGTAGGCATGGAGCCGGTCAAGCTCCAGTGTTTTATCATCACGTGAAGAACGGAATTGTACTGGTGACATCGGTATTCTTTTCCAGAAATATTTTAATTGTTTACAAAAACCCATGTGATCATAGGCTTACAAGCCTATCCCCATTTCGCCTTTCGATTTTAATTGCAAATGCACTGGGCCAATGGCATTTGCCAAGTCTCTATTAAATTAGAAATTAAATTGATGTGCATTGATCACCACAGGTCTTGCCATATACGTATGGCAAATCGCCCGAAGATGCTTGGATGTAATTTCCAGCTAAACGTCGTACTCAAATTCTAAATGTTGTGGATTCACTCTTCAAACACACTGGTGGGCTGAAGAAGTAACTAATTGGCGTTTTGTTAACGTGACACATTTTTTACTGATTGCCCGTGTCGGGTGGTGGAGGGTTGCGACACAATAATAACGCGATCTAACCCAAAAACCGTTATTATGGACGTATGATGCTCACATGCTTAATTCATCCCTGGGCTGCAGGATGAGCCAGACATTCGAGAGACTAGGCCTCGCAATGTTGTGTTCTGGGCCAGTATGGCAGGGGTAAGACTCTTATCAAACATTACATTCGCTCTATGTTGTTTCTGCTTGCTAACAGAATATCATTAATTGTGGCTTTTTGGGACAGTTCACTCAAAATTCCGTAACGCTCTGCAAATGAGTTGTGCCAATCCCATACATTGTTGGATTTCTTGGAAAATTATTGGCAGTAATCCGGCTGTCGACTCCGTTACACATTAAAAAAAAATGTTTTACATATGTGCAGATGGTGCATTTAATTAGAATCAATGTAGAAATTGAGCTGGGCATATGCCTGCAATTCGGCGCCTTAGGGCAAAAGGTTTATGCATCCTGCAGATTTGTGTCTTAACGCCACTGGGCTGCAAAATGGGCAGGAGATGGAATTACTAAAAGTGGGTGAATGAAATCCATGTGTGGATCTTTAAGTGTTGTCACCTCGAATGCACAAGCTTTCTCCAGTTACTCTGGTTTATTTTCCACATCCAAAACACGCCTCTAAAAGGAACTCGCCAAACATTCCAATGTAATAGCTTCCTGAAACACGTCTTGACACTCGGTGAGATTTGGCTGGGATGTGAAAAGATATACTTTTTTATGAATCTGTGGTCAATAATTGACTATTGGAAATGGAATGGAATATGTTTCATCAGATCCCACTTCAGCAGGTAGTTGCTTTAAAATCAGCAAACTCTCATTGGAGTGCTGAAGCAATGCACTATAGGATGCTTTGCATACTAATCAGCCAATAAACGTTTTCCATGCAGTGATACGCCACTTGAAAAGCACAACATGGAGTTATATGGCCTTCCATAAATAGTCACAAAATGATAAATTATCAGCTCAGATTTCAGAAAATACCATTACAAACGTTGGGAAATTGTATAGCCTTTCTTAAATTCTTTCATTAGTGTGAATTACTGTATACGGCTTAAAGGTTTTTAACTGCAGTTGTAAAGTTTACAGTAAAAATTGTGAGAAATGTGGTCAGTATACTACCTCAAATATTAATGAGTTGAAAGTTAAACACTGGGCTACCACACGAACTTTGTTTATTTTCTTAGAAGTCCAATACTTTGGCTATGGAACCATCAATATACATGTCGCTTATTAAGTAAAGTAATGTCCCATGCAGCCACACTCAATGATTTTCGTTCCAGCCTTCCTTTATCGCCATTGATTGGGTGCTGTTTTCACATGTCTGGCGCCCAAATTTTGGTGAGAATTAACCTCTTGTGCGGTGAATGAAAACTGGTGCAGACATAAAATCAAAACTTTATTAAGGCCCGCTCTTCTTTTTTTGTTCAATTAGGTGAAGAGCAGGCTTTTTTTATTGATGAATCTCTGACATAAAATTTAGTATTGAGTATGACTTTAATGGCATGGTCAAAGTAAAAGGTAGCAATTTAATATGTACGGGGTTTTTTTTCCTCCTTGATGTTTTTATTCTTATGTCTCCATCACTAATCGCAACCGGGACGTGGTGTTTATTTTTCGTGTACGTTCTATATTGTACTTGGTGTCGCTAACCTGGCAGTGAGAACTGTGCGGTGTCTTCGCGTGAACATCTCTGTGATGGACGTCACATCACGTTTGGCATGTACGCTAAGACAAATGACCTTAGCTGCGAATATTCAAATTCCTGCATACTGATTTATTAATCGTTATGATTATATGCATATGTTTTCATGTTCAGAGGGAATATTCTTTTTTGACGATTGACCACATTGGGGTGATGCCTCTGGGTAGTCCCAGCAGAAAAGCAATGTCGTATTTTAATGTTGGACCTCTGACACGGCTTTAGACACAGACTTACATAGCTGCCATTGTAGAAAGTACTCATAACTGACTCAATTCCATTTTCCCATTATAATTACTAATATTTATACACAAGCAGAGTTCTCTCAAAAACACACTTGCGTGCATACCACAATGGGGAGTACAGCGCATGCAATTGAACAAGCCAAATACTTTTACATTACATAAGCTATACTCAAAAATAAATGCATAAGGTAGTTAGCTTCAGTACTAAGAGTGTGGCCAGACACTATAAAATAGTAATGATGTGACAGAATAAATGAATTATCTTTAATATGGAAAAAAAGATATGAAATGTACCCTTGTAACATATACATCATAATTACACTTTGCAGCCCAGGGATCGATGAAGCTCCCATACAGTCGTTAGGTTCTGCCAGGCTTAGTATTTCATCGACTTGCTCGTCAGGAGTGGCCAATAAATTGAACATACATCGCCTTAAAAAGAAAAATTCCCTGCACGTCTTTCATTGAACTACACAGTTTGCAACTGAAATTGGCATTGTGAGCATTGTGAGCAATGTGAGCGTGCGCTCTTTTTGATAACCCTTTTGTATTAGGGAATATCAGCTCGCTCTCCATTTTGAGTGAATAATGTTAATACCCGGCCTTTCGGAAGGCGTGCTTAATGAACAGTATTTAGAGTTGCGTTGTGTTTTGGTTCTTTATTTAATGGGGGGGGGGGGGGGGTAGACGTGTGCATTTAAAAATTTATATATTAATTTTACCCTGCAAGGAAAACTGTGGTATTTTTAGTTCGACAGAAGGTATTTATGTTTTTTTTCCTCCTGTAGAGGGTGCCACATTCTAGATTCTTCTGCACACTTGGATACCTTGATGGAAGCGCAATTTATGCCATCACGGCGCTGTTCTATCAAAAGTAAAAACCTTTGATAGAAATATATTTTATGTCCGGATTGACATTCGTCTGACTCGTAAAAAGAGTTTGCTTTAATCAATTTGAAATATCACTTCTCGCATCTACGAACGAATGAAATATTGCAACTCTTTGCTGCATCGGGACTTTTGGAAAGGCCTTTATTATATTTCTGCAGTGTTTCTTCGTTTACTTTTCATTCGAGGATCAAAAACTGCTTAAAAAGTGTCAGCTTATCATGAAAATGTCACCACAGTTCTGCTATGATATCATACCAATGTGTAACCTCTCAGAAAGTTACATTCAATGCATATGAAAATTAAATTAGCATAGTTTAGATTAGTTGCTTAAATATATGTTAATGACCTTAGCAATCTTGTATGCCAGATTTTATTTTCAAAAATCGTTCAAAGCATTTTCAAAGGCAGCATTCATTCACGGCTTCATAAAGCACTCAATCAGTTTTGCTCCTGGAAAATAGATATTGTTATGAAAACATTGGATGGAGAGAAAACAAAACGAGCATTGGGAACCATTTAATTTGAATCTCTTTGTAAGATAGCTATTTTGCCAATCGACAGAAAATGTCAGTGTGCACAACATGCTTGCAGGCAAGACTGCATTGCCACAGTTGGTTCGCTTAGTGGGTGCCCTCAAAAAGGGCCGCACGCAATCCTGGGGCCAGGGAAGACACCGTTTGCTTGCACCCACCACTTCTGCTTCTCTGGGAGGGTTGGGGTGGGGGGTGTTCTGCCGCAGTGTGGCTTTGCGGATGCACAGAACGGTCTCTGCCAGGTTACGTGGCTCCATGCGTGTTACCCAACTGCCGCCGCCGCCGCCTCCGTCGTGCTCTCTCTGCGTTTTCCCCTGTGCCGCCCCCTGCTTTCGGGAGCAGCTCGCAACGGGCACAGAGGAAGGAGATAAAGCCCTGGCGGTAAATGTTGCTCACGCATGCACTTACAGCACAACGGCAGCAGCAGCTGTGCCCCAACGGAGTGCAGAATGCAGCAGTGGCAGGAGACATGAATCGGGTACATCATTAAAAGCCTTATACTCAAAACGCAGCGTTCTGAATTTTTATATTTGAGTTAAAAATGTATCTCCACATTTAAGCTGTTGGCTGCGATGACCCTATTTTTATAGCAATTTAATAAAATTGTAAATATTTTCCAGTTATGAAATCCGTGACACGGCTTGGTTACCTACGTGTGTTTCACACTCTGAAAACACTTGTAATGCCACTGGTTTTCACACTTGTACGACAGTATCTGGACAATAGGTGAAATGTCACGATTTCTGCCGCCCGCTGCCTCTCCCATGCTGTGCTGTTGGGCTGTAGCCACTGCATTGCACTTCTTGCTGGCTCGCTATCATGCTCCACCACATTAACCTTGTCCTGTTTAGAAGCTGCGATAATTCATTAATTAACTACTGTACACTGTATTTGCGTATGTTCCAAACGCAAAGCAATCATTTACAGTTCTAGATTTAAAGCTTTCGTGACTGCAAGGATCCATACTCTTTGGTTCTATTCGGTAAAGTCACGTAGGTAAAAAATAAAACAACAAAAATCACGACGTTTTGGCCACAACACAAGCGGCCTTCATCAGGTGACATCGTGATTTTTGTTTTATTTTTTACCTACGGAATAATTTACAGGTACAATTAGATGCTCAAATCCTTTATTGGTTTCATAGACTCGTAATAATACAGTCATCATAATCTTAACCCCTTGTGATTTGATTCAGTTCTGTACGAAGACCTCCCCATGCCGTGTTGGTCATGACCATTATTTACCATGCTGACCAATGTGGATTGGTTAAGGAGGAGGGGGCTCAGGGCTGCTCCAGACATCGCTCACCGCTGATGTTATCCGTGGCTTGAAATCGTACGCAGATCACCGGGTTCATACAAAAGTGGGCGAACCTACTGCACTAGCACTGCCCCATATACAGTTACACAGAATACTCCTTATACCGTTATTTATTATACATTGCTTGAATCCCTTCGCAATGTAACTGCGGGAGTACACTGCACCTTTGTGATGGAGGACTTGAGATGCTAAACAACACTGCTGAGGAATGTCGCGTCGTGAACGGCCAGGCTGTGTGTACAGCGCTTAGCCACGCTTCTTCGGTCGAAGCCTTAAGGAGAAGTCAGAAATTCCTTTTTGTGCTGTACTTGTTGTTCTTTATCTTTTTCAACCCTGTTCTTTCCTCTGTGCCCCGTTCAAGATGTGGACAAAGGAGGTCTCCAAAGTAAGTGAGAATGTACCTCGTGAAAAGTTTAAATTTGAGGTGTAACGATTCACCACCACCCCCCCCCCCCCAATGCCGACCCCCCAATGATGCAGTGTTGAATTTGATGCAACGATTCGATTCAAAGATCAATTAATATATTTGATATTAATTTTAACAGCCACTAGTGGCTGCAGAAGTCATATGAACCCATTAAATGTGGCATTTGTGGATTGATATATACAATTTGCTCGTAAACATGCTTCGATGCCTGTATTGTGTTGTAAGAGAGTTATCTTTAATCGATTAATCATTGCATCATTACACCCATACAATCACGACAGCAATATTAAATGGTATATTCACACCCAGCTTGTCTCTAATATATATTCATTACCAGTGCCTAACAATGTATTTTTCTTCTCCTAATTATTGTTGCTTATACAGTTTGTGATTCACAGTTTTTTTGTCTGTGCTAACAATAACTACATGATTCATGGGCATGATAACATTTTTCTGATAATTCAAAAAAAAAAATTACTGAGTTTCAGACAGTTGTATTCAGTGATATTTCAGTTATACAAAAATGCGATGTTCATAATCAAATTTTAAAAACACAATAGAATCCTTTAAAGCCCAGGAATCATCAGTACTGTCAGAATTACAAATACAAAAATGTGTTTGTGTGTATATATTCTGTATTTTTCCTGACATTCAGAGAACACCAACACGACATATGCATTGCAGTGCATGTAATGTAACATTGGCTAACATTTAACATGTAATGTAACTTTGGCTAACATTTAATCCCATGTGGTGTGACGCTTCAGCAGCATGCGATGCCTTTTCAATGTGTAGTGTTTCAAGTTTAATTTATTAGGTATAGCCCTGTGAGCCATGCGGCTCTTAAGTCGGGTGCAACCGCAACAAACAAAATTTGAACACAGAACATCTTAAAGCGAACAACGCGTAACAGAAACATCCTGGAATAAACCAGCAAATATTCCACACAAAAACTTATTAAAACGCTGTGTGCAAAAATCACAATGTGGTGCAAGCCAACAACAACAACAACCATAAGACAATTTAGATTTCCCATATGTTTTTGAATCACCAAAATAAAGCTATAAAAAAATGTAACAACAGTAATCATAGGAACTGTGATTTAAAATTGAACAATAAACGATATACATAACACGTACGACCAAACTTGCAGCCATAGCTGGCAGCACGACACTCCCAGTGTATGATGTGTGAGCGAGTCAGCAGCAGCGTGAGTCAGCATATGATGAGTGAGTCAGTGTATGATGTGTGAGCGAGTGTATGATGTGTGAGCGAGTCAGCGGCAGTGTGAGTGAGTGTATGATGTGTGAGTCAGCGCACGATGTGTTAGTCAGCGCATGATGAGTGAGTCAGTGTATGATGTGCGAGTGAGCCAGCACACGATGAGTGAACCTGTGTATGATGAGTGAATGGGTCAGTGGTTGTGCGAGTGTATGATGCGTGAGTAAGCGCATGATGAGCGAGTCAGCGCATGATGTGTGAGTGAGTCAGTGCATGATGTGAGTCAGTGTATGATGTATGAGAAAGTCAGTGTCGGCTCCCTCTGCTCGCGCCGTTGAGCCCCCCCCCCGGCTCCGCCGGCCCCCCCCCTGGCTCCGTTGCCCCCCCCCCAGCTCCGTCGCCCCCCCCCGGCTCCGTCGGGCTTCCCCCGGCTCCGTCGGCACCCCCCCCCAACTCCGTCGCCCCCCCCCCCCCGGCTCCGTCGGCCCCCCCCCTGACTCCGTCGGCCCCCCCCCCCCCCGGCTCCGTCGGCCCCCCCCTGGCTCCGTCGCCCCCCCCCCCCTGGTCCCGTCGGCTCCCTCGGCTCCTTCCGTCGGCTCCCTCGGCCCCCCTCACTAACGGCCCCGCCAGCCGCTGCTGGGAGCGCCCCGGGAGCGGCCCGGGAGCGCCCCGGGAGCGGCCCGGGAGCACGCGTGCCTCAGGCGTCATAAAGCTATGCCCCCCCCCCCCCCCCCAAAAAAAAAAATCGCTGTTAACTATTGTCATTGTAGTGTAGGTGTTCCCCAGGACTCATATACCACCATTGCAGATCCCATGGTTCAGTTAGGGGGCCAGACTTAGGGAGTCACCCATAATCCCACAATGCACTGCTTCACATTAATGCCCCTAATCACCAGTGCAGCGTTGGCTCGGTGAGAGGTGCTAATATTCTTTGGGTCTTACGGTAAAGTCACGTAGATAGGTTCAAAGAACTTTACCAAAAGACCCAAAGAATGTGAATTCCTGCAGTCACGAAAGCTTTAAGTCGAGAGGTGCTAAGTTTTATTTTCCTGGCATCACTTCAACCCCGTTGTGCTGGTCCTGCCTAGTAAGATACATTGGCAGCCCCCAGGCTAGGTATTGACTGAGCAATCGCATCAGATGTAAACGAGACCCAATGTGTATTGCCACACGCATTGCGAAGTGGCCGACATGAGAACGGCGGCCGTGTAACACTCCCGTGTGTGATTGGAATCTGCACATGTCGACAACGGCGTGCTCGATTCGGAGTAGGCATCTGCCACTCGCGGAGTACAATGCCAGCACTTCGCCAGTGGCAGGTTTAAACCTGACGTTGGAATTGGATCTCTTTTTTGTTGTTGAGATTTGCTGTTGGTGTGTTTAAGTGGGACTCAAATTTGAGAGCCTTGCCAGTCGTCACTGCCTTTGCATATCACTCGGCAGTGGAGGCTAACCCCCAAATTGCTGCTGGAACACTTTTCCTATTTAGTGTCACCTTACATGCTAAGTAAGACCTTGTCCGTGCATATGACTGATTGCTCACAACCTCCTCTGCCAGGTGTAAGACAGGTATATAAGTTTAGAAGACAAGTAGCCATGGGGCCCCTGTTGAGTAGCCACAGAGTCATACGGACATTATTAATTGAACAGTTACAACATGTAATGTACATGTCCTCCTGTATAAAAGTTGATGGTGGGGGGGGGGGATTGCCCCCCCCCCCTCTTGTCGCCTATGTGCCTATGCCCATTGTGGAGAATTCTAAGTTTCCAGAAAGGCTAGTCTAGAGTTTTACTGCGTGCCCACTTAGAATTTTGTAGAAACATTCAGCAGTGCAGCCAAGTGTTTATAACTCGCAGGGCTTGCATACAAATTTACTGGCCAGACAAAGTGTCCCCTAGATTTTCCCAGATTGTGCATTTTTAAAATATATTTTATCTGCAAAATCTCTTGAGATGGAACATCTCATTTGCAAGGGTGGCCAGAAAATACAGTTTAGATGAGCTGTTCATGATTTTTTTTGTTCAAAAAGGTCTCCAATGTAAACTTTACCCATCGCTCACACTGCCACAAAAAATCGATTTCAAAATGGAAAAGGCCCGGTTTCATCAGTTACACTGCAGGGCCTGCACACCGTCACGCTGGCTTGTTGCCTTGTCTCGATTTGTTCGTCCAAATCACTGGCTTCTTCGCTGAACCATAATCACTCTAAGAGGTAGAAAAAAAATACAACTGAGGTTTCTTAGAGTCGCTCCATAAGTCTTCCCTTTGCCAGTTGCATCCTTCGGTGAACCACACCTGCTGTGCATTGCACAACCGTACTTTTGAGATCTCACTGTAATACACGCTCCCTGGTGACGTGCTGCATTAGAGGTGAACTGAGACGCAGGACCAGGTGCATGGAATTGGCAGCAAGTGCAAGATTCACGCAGCGTGTGCCTGAGAATTGAGCTTAGCACTTGCGACCATTTCCCAGAGCAGTGAGTGGTGTTTACTTTAATTAAAGTTTCAGAGTAGCCCTGTGTGCAGATACCGTGCACTATTATAATTTTCTAAGCGGGACTGCATACATTGCATCTCCTACATTCTCTTGGCCACATTGACCCAGGCGGCAGGGGAAGGAACAGTCGTTAAGCTTGCGCACCGAGGATGAGACCCCGTCTGCCTTATAAAGCCCAATTAATTGCATGAGCCTTAATAGGACATTGTGCTTTGCTAGACTACAGCAGTTAATCCCAGTTTTGTTCAACCCATTAACAGTCGCACATTCATGCTAGTATGTGCTTATGAGGTTAAAACCTTACTGTTCTGATTATGACATTCACACGACCTTCATAGTGTCCAGACTTACAAATACCACAACATATTAAAGTGCAGTAGAAAATATATATATATTATGGATGAATGCCAGCTATATAAAAAATATATCTTAATTCTAAAAACTATTTTGGATATCGTTTCGGATTTCTAGATCATTTTCATCTTCTAATCATTAAACATCTTCATGCTTCTAAAAGTGATGTCACCCGATGAAACCAATTTTCTTTTTACAAACTTTTGACTTTTCCAGGTAAATTTCGGCAGGGAAGCAAGGAAGTGACCTATATATGTGACGTCGTTTCCTGTGACGCCATACTTTTGTATCAATCTGAAACGTGATCGTATGTATAGGCATGGCTTTTAGACTTTTCAGTTTAATCCAAAAATCAGGCATATATCCCTTCTGCAATGATATTTTAACTCGTACAATGAGACCATTTCCCGTGCCAAATGCGTGGCTGCTTGTCGTTCTAACAGGGTGAGCAGGAGGTGCGTGTGGCTCAGGCGGAGTTTGACAGGCAGGCCGAGATCACACGGCTTCTCCTGGAGGGGATCAGCACCACACACGTAAGTGCGAGATCGTTTATTCCAAGTAGCATAACTCTTACGGCTTTGTTTCCTAGAACGTTGCTTGCCATCAGTGTATTAGATAGTCACGGTGGCATCATCACCATCAGCAATGAATAATCTCCGCTCCTGGATTAAAACCTCCCCAAGGTGACGCCACGTCTCTGACGGTTTGGCGATGCAACCAACCAGCACCTGCACGCAAACTGATTTCATAGCTCCATCTGTGCGGCGAACGTTACCTTGGGGCACGATTCCCTCCCTTGGATGCCGCTCCGTGGTTATTCTCAACCTTCGGCAATCTCGGATTAGCACCGTTGACTACGTTCTACATACATACATCGTCCCTTCTAGCGATGTATCCTACCCGAGCCTACTTTAACCTGCCTATGTTCTGTAATACATGTGGTACTCTTTGTGCCTCAAGTGTACTTCCAGCATGCACCTGCCCATGCTTCTCTGTGCACTTTTCAGCTTTTGTTACAACTTCTCCATTGATGTCCTTGTTTCCATTTAATTTGTCATTGGTATGTTGCACCGCATTATCGGTGGCACCAGGCTGATCTTACCTGTACAGTGTCTGATTGGTTTTTTTTCGCGCATATGCGTGGATATTTTAAGGATACACAATGATTCTCGAAAAGTAATTGGACAAACGCCCCAAGCGGCATCCCCCGGAAAAGTTTTGAGACTGCAACTCCTTTCTGGGAAAACCAAATTGAATCTTCTCTTGAAATACAAACAAATCACGAGACGTCTTTGCAAAACCATGACAGGGAACTGCACAATTAGAGTGAGGTCGGGAATAATACACAGGTGGTGTGTCTACAAACTTTATACAGTTCCAAACTATAAATCATGAACAGCCAAGTAGGTCAGCATGAAGAGCATCGTGCATAAAAAGCAATATCTAATGTAGAACTAAGACTCAAATTTAACAGAGAGGGTCCTTGCCTATAGCATCTGGCAGTTCAACATTGATTCAACCAGGCCTGATTCTGCTGATGAGAGACTCTGTCAAAACCGGTCCAGAGTTTTTTTGTTTTTGTTATGCCTAGTCAATTCTGCTGAAATATGCACTCCAAGAAGGCCAATGGGTAAGGGGCTATTTATATTTTATATTTTTACATGGAAAAAACATATATATGAAGGAGATATATTGTCAGCTTATCTATTTTTTTATATTCTCCACAGAGACGCTACTTATTTTTGTGAAATGTAATATAGATAAATCCTGAGTGTGAATTTAAGCAGTGGGAAAGAATATGAAATGGGAGCTACATGGGCAGGATTGCTCCAACCAGTGGGCCCATCTTGGAGAGGGAATGATCCCTCACGCGGAGATTACCGCTTACATCTCATCAAGGGGATGCGATGAACACCGAGGCTTTACAGCTAAGCTAAACTGTCTCTAATTGTTATTGTTCTAGGTCAGAAGGCAGCCAATTTTAGACTAACTCTTAAGCATCAAATTCAGAGGAGCAAAATTATTCAATGGATATTCACCACTCTGAATAAATATGTATACGTGTATATTTTGTGAATTGCAATAAACCCCGTATATAACGTAACATATTTTACCTGACCGCTCAATTGTTCTCTAAGTTAGGAACCTGGCGACCCAAGTTTGATTCCATCGCCATGGCTAACATCAGTCGCAAGCTTTATCTGAACAGGCCCCACCACTGCCCCTACCCCCCCCTCCGCCCTTGAACGATTCCGCACCGAAACACGTGGTGAAGTATGGTCAAATAGCCCCTGTGACTGACACGACGTGAGAAGGCCTTCATTCAGCAAGTGATGAAAATGTGCTGTAAAGAGATTTGGTACAGTAGTATTAATCATATACAGCGAGGGAAAAAAGTATTTGATCCCCTGCTGATTTTGTACGTTTGCCCACTGACAAAGAAATGATCGGTCTATTATTGTAATGGTAGGTTTATTTGAACAGTGAGAGACAGGATAACAACAAGAAAATCCAGAAAAACGCATTTCAAAAATGTTATAAATTGATTTGCATTTTAATGAGGGAAATAAGTATTTGACCCCCTCTCAATCATAAAGATTTCTGGCTCCCAGGTGGCTTTTATACAGGTAACGAGCTGAGATTAGGAGCACACTCTTAAAGGGAGTGCTCCTAATCTCAGCTCGTTACCTGTATAAAAGACACCTGTCCACAGAAGCAATCAATCAATCAGATTCCAAACTCTCCACCATGGCCAAGACCAAAAAGCTCTCCAAGGATGTCAGGGACAAGATTGTAGACCTACACAAGGCTGGAATGGGCTACAAGACCATTGCTAAGCAGCTTGGTGAGAAGGTGACAACAGTTGGTGCGATTATTCGCAAATGGAAGAAACACAACAGAACTGTCAATCTCCCTTGGCCTGGGGCTCCATGCAAGATCTCACCTCGTGGAGTTGCAATGATCATGAGAACGGTGAGGAATCAGCCCAGAACTACTCAAGGCAGCTGGGACCATAGTCACCAAGAAAACAATTGGTAACACACTACGCCGTGAAGAACTGAAATCCGGCAGCACCCGCAAGGTCCCCCTGCTCAAGAAAGCACATATACATGCCCGTCTGAAGTTTGCCAATGAACATCTGAATGATTCAGAGGACAACTGGGTGAAAGTGTTGTGGTCAGATGAGACCAAAATGGAGCTCTTTGGCATCAACTCAACTCGCCGTGTTTGGAGGAGGAATGCTGCCTATGACCCCAAGAACACCATCCCCACCGTCAAACATGGAGGTGGAAACATGTTTTGGGAGTGTTTTTCTGCTAAGGGGACAGGACAACTTCACCGCATCAAAGGGACGATGGACGGGGCCATGTACCGTCAAATCTTGAGTGAGAACCTCCTTCCCTCAGCCAGGGCATTGAAAATGGGTCGTGGATGGGTATTCCAGCATTACAATGACCCAAAACACATGGCCAAGGCAACAAAGGAGTGGCTCAAGAAAAAGCACATTAAGGTCCTGGAGTGGCCTAGCCAATCTCCAGACCTTAATCCCATAGAAAATCTGTGGAGGGAGCTGAAGGTTCGAGTTGCCAAACGTCAGCCTCGAAACCTTAATGACTTGGAGAAGATCTGCAAAGAGGAGTAGGACAAAATCCCTCCTGACATGTGTGCAAACCTGGTGGCCAACTACAAGAAACGTCTTCCCTCATTAAAATGCAAATAAATTTATACCATTTTTGACATTTTATTGTTGTTATTCTGTCTCTCCCTGTTAAAATAAACCTACCATAAAAATTATAGACTGATTATTTCTTCGTCAGTGAGCAAACGTACAAAATCAGCAGGAGATCAAATACTTTTTTCCCTCACTGTAGTAACAGTATTTCACTGTGTAATAATATTTATATAAATCTTGACTTAAAGCTTTCGTGACTGCAGAAATTCATATTCTTTGGGTCTTTCGGTAAAGTCATGTAGATAGGTTCAAAGAGAATAACAAAAAAATAACAAAAAGCTACGACGTTTCAATCGCAACACAAGCTGTCGTCATCAGGAAGAAAATAAATATCCTGATGACGATTGCTTGTGTTGCGATCGAAACGTCGTAGCTTTTTGTTATTTTGTATTTTCTTTGAACCTATCTACGTGACTTTACCGAAAAACCCCAGAATATAATATTTATATATTCTGGATTAACGTTTTAAATTGACAAGGAATTAGGATTGTGCAATATAAATGTATTTTCTTGTCTGAGATTAATTATCGAATGGGCATAGTTAAAATTATTTAAACTTATTAATATAATCAGCTGCCTGCTTATCGGGTACTGTGCAGATGGACATAGGCTGGAATGTACAATCAGGATAAATTCCTCTTTTGAACAATATTACACGACTAAGATAAATGATTATCTGTGCTCCTAAACCTGGTCTCGAAGGATAGTGTCTGGAAGGACATCTTGTCAGTGAGCTCTCTGAATTAAGCAGCTGTTCATATGAATGATTATTCCTGATCATATGCACCGGGTGTGCACTGGGTATGGTGGATGGTAATGGTCCCTGTGTAGCTTGTAGAATTACCATAAAGTAATGACTTGGGGCGACTTGGTGGCTCACGGGTCTAATGCTGCATTGCCAGGGTTCTTCACATCTTGGGTTCATGCAGAAGCTAAACATTTATATTGTCTTTCCAGCCTGCATGAGCCCTTACTCGTTCACACCGACACAGGGCCTTTGATGGTATCGGCCACATCAACAATGGAGACACAAAATAATATATCTGTGTCTAAAATAGAACCTGATTTGGTTGCACGTATCTATGAACAGACCTTGGTATAGAACAGAAACTCCCCTGGGTACATGTGTGAGGCCTATCGACCAGGTAATTGGGGAAGGCATGCATTCCTTTGCGATTGTGATATGATGTTGTACTGCTCGTGTGAGGTCCACCTTTGATATTTCTTTCCGCCTTGCCAAGCACACGTGCCTTGCAATTGATGATGCACCGGCAAAGGCCAAATCATTGGAAACTGTTTAAAAACTCAAATACAAAACTTTTCGGGAAAACAGCAATAAAACACTGTATACATTTGTAATAAATTGATGGCTTTTATTGTCCTGTCGTCCACTGCTCATGGCAGGCAAAATTGCAGCTGCTGACATTGCTGTTAGTGTGATTGATGATGACTGAGATGAATTGCCCGTGTAATGCGATGTCTGAGCGTGTGTTATTTCCTATACTTGTCTAAGTGGTGCCACACATTTTTGCCAACGAAGTCAAATCATTCAGGTGACCAGAAGAACATTATAGGCGTTATATTGCACCACGTATTAATGTGCAAACTAAATTGTTTATAAAAAAAAAAATATTTAAACTTTAAAATCCCTTGAGATGGAACATCTCATTTGCAAGTTGTCCGGAGTGCCAGTCGACACATAGAAAGAACGTAACGACGTATGTACAAAACAAAATTGTGAGGGTATTCTAGTACATAGTTTTTTTACGAACAATTGTGGATGTATTTTGATTTAAAGCT